CAGCGAGGTGAGTGGTGTTCTTCCAGCGGTTCTGGCGCGGGCTGGAAAGATTCCTGGGGAAGCTTTGTAGTTTCTCGGCCACCTTGGAGATTCATAGCATGATTTGCGTAGCCTGAAAGTCAATACTGACACATATGTTATGTGTATATATATATATATATGTGCAAAAATGTGAATTCAATAGATCAAAACACACACAAATAAATAGAAATATATAGATTGATATGGAAGCCCAAATAGACCCTGTCCACTGCTTATTCAATTAGCGGTTGTTTATGACCATTGGATGCATCGCAAGGCTGTTTGAGAGAGAGCTGGAAGTTCCTTCTTGTGTCAAATGAGAAGAGATGTGTTTGCTTTCTGAACAGTCAGATTCGAATTGATGAGCAGATGGTTTTTTGATGTTTTTTGCCCACGAAAAGATTTATGGCCCGTGATTCATGACTCACAAGTTTGAGATTGCGCTTATTCTGGACGTCTGTATTCCCACTAGTTGGCTGATTCATAGAAGTGGTACCTACCGTTGAACAACGTCAATGGCAATGGGTGAATGACGGTGACTGTTGCCACTTCGAGATCCACTTTCCATCCTGGATTTTGGCTAACAAGTTCCCTAAGGAATGGTCCAATAGCATGGCTGGAAATGGTCCGGAGCAAGCATGCTGTGCCTAAGCGCAAAGGGCACCCCTCACGATGCAATAGAAAGATGAACTAAGACAGAATGCCAAGTTCATGCGAAAGGTAGATGCTCTCCTGAAGTTCTGACGTTTCCTTTCTGTTTTTCGGATTCATATCATGTCCTGGACTTGATTATATATCACTTGAGAAGTGTCTACCGGAATATCAGAATATCCCAGTGCAAATCTGAAAGATAATCTAAATACATGCAACATTATGCAACAAAGCGTGAGGTTGTAAACCATGACCCTTGATGAAGGTCAGCGTTAGGTAGCACTCAGGAAGTCAAACCGGAAATTCTCAGAGAAACTACTCAAAGAAGAATTGTTCAAGTCTCTCACTTTCAATGTTTAATTATTTTTTTGTTTTTTCCCACTCTTTGTATGTTCTTTCTTTTGTAATGTTTTTGAAGCGTTCCAGTTGAGTCCGCACAGAGAAACCCACTTGGTGCGCCACCAGGTGCGTGCGGTGGTGGTGTGAAGCTCTTGGCATCAGTGGTGTCCCACCTCGATGGTCGACTTCAAGCGCCCCAGGACGATCCATGTGGGTCCATACTGATGCCATACTGCATAGCACTGGGGATAGAACTGGGAAAGCTGGAGACGTGGATAAGATGATGAACATGTTGAGCGTCACACGAAAGATGAACTGGTCATGTTTATGGAAGTTAACACGTACATGTTTGCCCAATTTTGACGAAAATAGCAGTCATAGCGTCGCAAATCACAAGGAATCAACGAAAGACCTTCAGAGAGTGTGATCCCATAGGACCATGAAAAGGACAGAAGGCACACAGATCACACAGGCACCATGTGAAGAGAGATTGAGATATGAGAAGATTTGAGTATCATTTCGATATGACTATCCACTTTCACGAAAGCTTCTGCTAGCTGAAGTCCCCCTTGCTGCGCACTTTACACTCCACACTTCACACGCTAAACGTTACACTCCACACCTTGCACGTTGCACTCCGCCCTCGGCATGTTACACTTAACTGTTAACGGACTTTACACGCCACAGTATGCCACAGTATACACTCTAAACTTTACACTCCACACTTTACACTCTAAAATTTGTCGCACTTTACACCCCACACTCCACACTGTACACTTTACACTTCACACTCTACACTTGGCACTCCACCCTCTACTTTTACGCGTGGCACTCACACTTTAAGGTTTACGCTTTCACACTTTCCACTGTACACTTGACTTTAGACCCTCACAACTTTGCCCTTTTCACACTTGACGCTGTATGGAACCTTGGCCTAGCTCCATTGTCATGTTGCGTGCGCACATCTACCTGTCGTCGTAAACTGTCGCCTCGCACTGCGTGACGTCTTCCCGCGCTTCCAAAGGTCCACTCCGGTGCCGAAGGTGGACCTTTGAATTTTCCCGACTCAGTTGTCATGATCTTGTCTATGCATGTCTATGCTGAATGTCTTCATTTGCTTCGTGCAACAGTAGACAACAATCATATGTTCTCAAAAATTGTGCTTACACTTGCGCTACCTTCTGTGTTTCATGCCCATCACCCTGCCAAGCTAGCTTTCGTCCCCAACTCGCTTGTAGTATCATTATGATATACCGATGAGTTTCCATTTTAGCTGTATACTAGGAATATGAACTCATCATAACTCATCAGTATATCATAATCATAATCATGATCCATTTTATGATTTTTTATGATATACATTGAGATACTAAAGTGCTATGTTTATAGCTGGTTTAAATCACCCATGAACCAGGACGGCTTCGATGAAGGCGGCATGGCTCCGGCAGACAGGCTGCCTGAGGAGACGCCGCGCCACCGTGGGATGGCGACCGTTTCAAACGAGTGGGGACTGGAAAGCACGAGGATAAGACTGGGACCACTGGGATATGGGCACTGGAAATAATGTGGTTTTAGTGTGTTTTAGTATACTGTTAAACTATCCAGTTTTGAGCCGTCTAGAGTAGTTTGGGGGAGAATTTTGAAGCCGTACCCAGGTCTACAAGAGGTGGCATGAATACAGGCATGGCAGACTCAGTCGGAAGTCTCTTGCCTTTCGCATTGCCTCAGGAGTTTATGGATTCCGATCCAGTCACTGCACCTTTGGATCAGATTCCGGCCAAGTTTGCTCATTATCTCACATCTGTGGACAAGAAGAGGCAGGGTGCAATTTCTGTGCTGATATTGGCTGGGACTGAACCATCATGACCCTGGAAGAATTGTGTTTGATGTCCTGTGAATTTTGACATATGGCTGTCTCTGCACGTCGTTTGGCATTCGTTTATCTCTCATTGTGACCATCCTGGGTAATTAATTGTTTCAGAGACATAGATGTGGCCCACGGATTGACAACTTCGCAACATCGGAACGACGGTGACGATGGACTGTCCCTGGCCTAATACTGTACCCCTACAAAAAGGTCATGATATAATAGATATACTATATAATATATAATATATGATATATATAATATATAATAAATAATATATAATATACTATATAATATATCATATATGATGTATGATATATTATATATGATATTTAAATATATTTAATATATAATATATAGTATATACAATATATAATATATGATATATGATATATGATATATACTATATAATATATAATTTATAATATATGATATAGAATTTGATGTTTGCGGATCATGACACAGTACCAGACACATCAGCAAGCATCTCACTACAGGCAACAACCAGATGTCATGGGCCTCTCCGCACGCTTCTACAGCGTAAAGCCCACAGATGACTGCAATGGCCTCTTGGCTCAAGGCAAGTTTGGTCTGATTTCCAGGCCCATCATTATACTTATATACAATCATATACATATACTATAGATGATAATATGTTATTGTATGCTACATGAGAACAATACATAAATCTATGTTCGATATGTATACAATATATATAGTATATGTAGATAAACATATATATATATACACATACAGGTACAATTACAATTACAATATGTAGATTATATATATTATACATACAGGTATACGATATGTAAATTATATATATATAGTAGAGCCAACACAAATTTATACAATAGATTTAAGGCAATATAATATCAACTGAAACTTGTTCAAGGTTCCAATCTCCCAATGGCCGAGGTCCTGCGCCAATGTCTTCAACCATTGATCGTGCGTTGGATTATCGTTGCTGGGTGCAGGATTAGGCATGGCGGCATGGCACTAATGCGACTAGTGGATGGATTGAGAATGGCTTGAGATTGATCATTGCTATTGACATCTGATAGGATTTCATAGCGGATTGAGAATCGATTAATGGATGTGTAATAAATTCAGAACGCATGCAGTACGGTTTCTGGCTATTTTAGTATTGCTGGCCATCCAGAAATGCGGCAGGAAGTAAACCAGCTGTCAAGGGAGCCATGTGAAACACCATGAACCGCTGGGACGGTAGGATTTTGGCGTTTTGGCGTCCCCTGTTTTCAGACCCACATTGAGATCCATTGGTTTTGTAGGCGGTGAGTCACCGGCATGGATTGAGGCTTTGGTTTTACTGGTGGCTTCCAGCGCTTTCTTCAATTACATGCCAAGCATGCGGACTCTGGCAGTGACTTTGCAAGGAATAAACTGATGTTGAAGTCCTTACCTAGTCAACAGACACGTGCGGCTTTTCACCATGAGTCGGTGATGAGGGCACCGAAAGGCTGTTTGAAGCTGTTCCAAGCAAAGTTGTTCTTTGATGTGGAATTGAGTTGCCTTCTGCGTTGCAGAGAACTCAAATGCTGAACAATATCCACAAGGGAGAAAAGTCGTTCATTGTTCCTGTTGCGTTGCAAAGCCACAGAGCTATCAATTTCGCGCAGCATATCATTGGATGGACGAATCCTCAGCTGGTGCCAGGCTTTTTCTACGGCAAATGGACTGGAACCATCAATATTTTGGAGAAGGGGAAGTATGTCTTCGATTTGGACCTTGGATTTGACACCAGCAGCTCCATCAAGATTGATGGCCAGGCGAATGGCTCAGTGGCTTGATGGGTTTTTGAAAATCGAAGCCCCGCTTGGAATGCTGTTATCCTCTCACCAGCCAATTCACAACCAGCATCAAACAATTGGCTTTATCCCAGGAGAGGGTCTCTGCAGTATCCCGTTCCACTGAATGGTTCTTTGGAACATCCTCCCAATTTTTCAGTGGCTTTATGGGTAGTTAATATGGTAGTTACAGATCTCCCCGTTTCTGACGCAAAAAAAACGCGAGGAGTTGCTGACCCATGGACAGTGCAAGGCATCAAAGGCCGGGGTGAACTGGTGACCCATGGCCCATGGCCCATGGCCCATGGCCATCCATGGTCCATAGAGAGATCCAGAGAGTTGCCGAAAAATATCGAAAAGCCGCACCCGCAAAAACGCCCGCATTTGGAAAATACGTGCAAAGGTACGGCCCGTCTCAGTGAGATAACCTTGTTTATTAACACAAATTGACACAAATCAAAGTAAATTTGTCTAATTTTGTCTATTTGCTTTGTTGTAGACTCTTAGTAGACCATCCCAGTTCCAAGTGCCACCCAATTTTGACCCCATACCCATACGTTTTTTGTTTCAATTCACAGAAATTCATCCCAGTCTCAAAGAAGTTTTCCTCCGTTCGAAAATCCTCGGAGGAAGCGTACTCTTGCGCACAAAAGCGCTGCCTGTGGTTAGATGGCAACTGCATGCCACCATCTGGTCGGGTCCTCAAAGAGAGAAGGTGTTGACCAGGTGGAGGAAAGGCGTGCTGTCGGACCGTTGTAGCGTTCTTTATATACCTTCCAGAGCCGTCTGGATCTTTGACTTGCAAGAGAATCTCCCCCGAGCCTGACTTTGAACCTGGAACCTCTCAACAGTTTTTAGTAACCTTTTGACATCGATAAAAGGCCAACCGGCAGGCACCAGGAATCTATACAATGCTGCGCCAGTGCTGGCAGAAATTGGACAAGATTACAACATCTTGAGCAGCACTCCAAATTTGTAGGTTTTTGCTGTTACACTCGAGGTGCTTTTATTCAGTTGTGAAGCAGAAATTTGAAATGCAGGACGTCAAAGTCAGATGGTTGAAGACTAAATGTGGTTAAATCATGTTGAATCCTCTTTTTTAAACTACTGTGAATGAGAGAAATCCTGCACCACCTTGGATTATCAATGATGATTGTTTCCCTGTAAATAATATAAATAATGGGATTCCTTCCATCCACAGTATGTTTTACTGTTTAAAACCTACCTGTGAAGTCCCAAATCTTGGCAGGTGCCGCCGGGAGTGCTCCGGCTCCAGCACCGGCCGTGGCCGTCGCGGCCGCGGCCGCGCCTGCCTTGGAATGGCCGCGGCTGGTGCCAGAGAGACAGTCAGATGTCATGAGATTCTTGGCACATCTTGGCACAAAGTGGAGAATCTGACAGAATATGACCTGAGGTTCTTTAAACTTTTGTTGAAATATGTTGAAATTCTTGATCCATGATTTTGTGGTGATAATTTAGGGTGAACAACATGTCATTAACTTTTAAAGCGAAGTTCCAGTTTTGACTCAAATCCCCATACAAAAGTTGGTTCGTGAAATACCTCTATGCCTTGGTACCTGAAATGCACAAAGTCAGTCAGAGGCATCGTGTTTTGGTGATTAAAATTCATATGAAAGGGGGGATTACGTATGATTACAGCAAGTGGGTAAGACTCTGACCATGTCAGTCCGAATTCTTGGATGCTTATCTGCTTATCCCCATCGAACCTCAGTGGGTAACAACGGGCAGGTTCAACCAATCCCAAAGGTTCAACCCACCAAAGATGAAAATTGAATAGCCGAATTATATTTCCACAAAAAGTAAGTGCAAATTCATCCCTTCCGAAATACATATGATATATAATGATATATAATGATATATAATGATATATAATGATATATAATGATATATAACGATATATAATGATATATAATGATGTATAATGATGTATAATGATATATATATATGATATATATATATAATATATATATATAATATAATATATATATATATATTGCATACTGTATGCTGTCTTCCAAAAAAAATAAACCATTCCGATACAACATTGGATCTGCCCCGATAGCTGAGGCCGGGGTCACCTTTGAAACCTCCAAATTTCACCTGTGAACAGCAAGGTGAACTGGGTGAATTGGGTAAACTACCCGCTGTCCAAGGTCCTTGTCACAACGCAGCAGCTCTGGGTTTGCTGCAGGCTCCCTCCCCCGCCACAGCGCCTGGGGCCGCTGCAGCGCCTGCGCCAGTGCCCATGGCCATGGCACCTGTGCCCGCGCCCATGGCGGCGGTGCCGGTGCCGGTGCCGGCTCCAGCGCCACCACCCTTTGAGGCGGAAGGAAAACCAGGAGAGATGTTGGGCACTCAGATGGCCGGACGTCAAGCTCTGAGGAGCTAGATGCAAGCTGGGTCAGCCAAACAGGATTTGGATGGATTTCGGGAAAAAAAACATTCAAAGAGTGCCACTCCAATGACTGCTTGAAAAAGCTTGAAAATACATGAACATACTGTACTGCTGTTTTGCATTTTGAGGCTGTTGAGTGTGGGAGGTCACTGCGTGGAGGTTTTGGTGCGTGCCGCCTTTTGATTGCAAGCAGCGAATTTTGTGTCTAGGACTGTCCTGCTTTGACAATATTTTACATCCACTGACTTGTTTTGCTGGTGATAGTCAGCCCTAAGGATTCAAACAGCCGCTCAATCCAGCTTTCGTGCCTTGCCACAATACTGGAGTCAAGGAAAAGGAACAGTGGCATCTATCCTTATGCAACTGAGGTTAGTGAGGAGCTTTACTCTTCTTACTTTTTGCAAAGATTTAGGAATGCTTTTTTCGCACCTGCCAGGTAAGGGTCTCTAGATTTTCGCAAAGGTGCAACTCCTCCTCCTCCTCCTCTTCTTCTTCTTCTTCCACCTACTACTCCTCCTTGTCCTCATCTCCGCCTCCTCTCTGCCTTTGTGGGTTTCAATTGTTGTGAGCCATATCGCGAACTCCAGATGCACGCCTGGACCCGAACTCCATATCGCCAGCCCCTGATGCAGTGGAGCACCATATCGCGAGCCTAGGATGCTGTGGAGCACACCTGGACCCAAACACATGCCAGAGAGAATGCCAGAATATAACAGAATATATAGACGCCAGAAAGAATGTCAAAATGGATGCCAGATTGAATGCCAGAAAGAAGGTCAGAATATATGCCAGCTTTTCAGATAGAATGTCAGAGTATATGCCAGAAAGAATGTCAGAATATATATATATATGCCATATATCCATATATGCCACATATACTTCCAGATGGTATGTCGGAAACTATGTCAGAATAGTGTTATTTTCAGGGTGGGGCTCGCTCGAAGAAAGTAATTCATGTTTTTCCATTGACCGGACAACAGCACGTAGTTGCAGGGATGACTCAGACACCTCAACGCTTTTACCCATGATACTCAGAATGAGATGTTTTGTGCTGTTTTTTTAGATATATAAATCTCTTGTTTTTTTTGCGGGTTGATTGATTGATACCTCTTTTTGGATCGCCATATCTACCTACATCATGATGCGTGGAATGCGTGGCAGTTGGCTCAAGAACTGGTTCCAGCTGGTCTGAAGGGGTCAGCTGGGCTCGTTAGTTGTGGGAGAGCAGGCATTTGTGTGGTGCTCTCTTTATGCTAGATTGCTGCCTCAGAGAGGACCCTGGGGCTGGACTTTTTGGTGATTGAATAGAGATTGCACGAACAAAAATTAAAGATTCAACCGATTCAAACCGTTTGAAGTTCGGTGAAGTGATTTTTTTTCCTCATTTTGTGCAGGGTCAAATGCTGTCCCAGGGAACCCTGGGAGGAGTCGACCATCTACAAGGAAAATCCACCACAGTTTGTCATTGACGACAAGGAGATGAAAAGCAGTGATCCGGTCTCTTCCGAAAAACGATTATCTGTGACAATTATCACAGATGTGCCTGAGGTGACGCACAAGCCAAGCATACCCACCTCCCCCGACGACATTGCAATCATGTCCCGCCAAAGCAGTACGACCTTCAGGCTTGCAGGTGAAGGAATTTCTCCGAAATCTCCGAAATCTCCGAAATCTCCGAAATGCCCAAGCGAAAGTTCGGGGGTCTTTCAATTCTCGCCAAAGAGTATCTGAGTGCTGGTTTCACATACGTGTTATTTTTCAAATTGTCTCTACTGAGGATTATGATCCCAACAAATGAATGAATATGAACAACCATAAATACATAAATACGCAAATAGCTAAATAGATGAGCACATGCTACATAGATCAACAACTAAATAAATCAAGATAATATGATAATATAGATAGGTAGACAAAGACATACGTAATTCATTGATTCATGTAATTCATGTTTGTTTTTTCCTGCGCGCTATCTTTCGAGCTAATTCAAGCAGTTTTTTTTTCACCACCAAGGTATGCGTTCGGAAGGCAGTTCCAGAAGTAACTTGGAGAAGTTGAAGGTGCCTTGGGATGTGCGCAGTGGCACTTCTGTCGCGGACTTCGACAACTTGGCTCCGACCAATGACTACACCATGGATGAAGAGCTCGGGGTGGGTGGCTTCGGGACCGTCTACAGGGGCACCAAGAAGACCAATGGGACAGAGGTACCAACTGTACCAACCAAAACAAAAAATCGAACAAATAAAGGATATAAAGGCTACATATATCAAATTATATCAATATAGCCATCATTTGCCCTACATGTATCCTACATGTTAAAGATCATATGATTTTTCCGGAACATGGGTGAAACATCCAGAACAGGTGGCCATCAAAATCATCCAGCGAGAACGCTTGCACTCAGAAGACAACTTCAAGGAGGAGCTAAAGGTGGCAAGAAAACTGCAACATCCCAACATTGTGTTGCTGCATGCTTCTTACCAGGACTGCACAAGTGCTGAGCAAACCTGGTGGGTACCCACTCGTGAAAGGTGCTTTTTATTATGGTTGAGGTTTCTGCCAGAAATAGGGATGTTAATAATATCCAGCTATTTGTTGTTTTTCTGTATCTAAGATCATGATAGGGAACCCATCTAGAACCTAAATGAAGTGCGCCAACATCCCAAATGGAGTAAATCCATGTAATCCGCCTCCGAAAATAGGCCAACTTTTTTTGGAGGTATTTGTCGTGCTTCATTGTTTGAATCGTGGCTCCTTGTTTGCCATCCTTTGCATCTGACCTCAAAAAATCTCCCGTCTCCAGGTCCTGAAGTTGAAAAAAATCTCTCTGACAGCTTCCCCACGATAAAGGTCTGAAATGTTGGGGACCTTCCTTAAAATCCAAAGTAAAGTCAGTTCAACTTCAAATTCAAACTAGTTGAGATTTCATGTCAAAGTGCTTAGAGTCAACTCTAGTTGAAATTCAACTCCACTTACCTAGACTTAGTTTGATTCAACTGGACTTTGAAGCCAAGTTGAATTCAAATTCAGGTAAGTCAGCTCAAGTTCAAACCAAAACAAACCAAGTTGAAAATCTGAATTGAAATTGAACAATTAAAGCCACAATCTCAAATATAATTTCCAATATAAACATAGAAAGAAAACCTGAAACCTCTGTCCTGACCGTGTGTTGGGCTTTTTTTGGGGGGAGATCCAACCTTGGATTCGTTGGCTTCCGACTCGAGAGCTAAGGGCCCCATGTTTTGCTGTGTTTTGCAGCATTTTTTCTGCTGAATTTCTGCGAAATACTGGTTGGTGGTTTGGAACCATGGAATTTTATGACTTTCCATTCAGTTGGGAATTTCATCATCCCAACTGACTTTCACTCCATCATTTTTCAGAGGGGTAGGTCAACCACCAGAATATGAGACCTGAAATGAGTTGCGCAATTGTCGTCGCGCTTTAATAAACGGTTCTGAAGAACGGTTCTGTCAGAAGGATCAGGATCCAGTGTACCAACATGAGCGTTGTCGACATTGTTTGTCAGGAAAGTTAAAGATTTCCGGCTGAGCCGGCTGAATTGTTGGATTGTTGACCAGGACGACAACAACTACTACTTGGTCATGGAGTTTTGCCCTGGCGGCACTTTGGCGAAGTTTGTTGGCACCAAGACCATGCAGAAGGAGACTGGTCCTCCAGTTTCCCTAGAAAATCCTAGGGCTAAACATCGGAATCTAGGCGCAGTTATGCAAACATCATGGAAACACAAGGATTCCAAACCCCCTGTTCAGGACGATTTGGGTTTGTGGACCGTTGGCTTGGATGTGGACCTCTTTGCCAAATATGCATGGCAAATGCTCTCGGGAACTGCCTATCTTCATTATTGCAAAATCGTGCACAGGGACATCAAATTGGAGAACTACATGCGAGTAGGAGATGAGGAGGACGCGCAACTAAAGCTAATTGACATGGGTCTCTGGTTGATGGTTTCAGATATCTTTTTGGTTGCTGTTCCCCAATATATTTGATAGTAACTATTCGAACTGGAGACTTATTTTGGGGGGAGAACGAAGTTTCCTCTCTCTAGGTTCCCAGAGTTGGATGATGAACTTAAAAATGCCGGACATGCCGGACTCACTGTGAAAACATCTGAATTCAGCAAATAAATGTGCAAATTGTCCCAAGCCAGCCAAGCTTGACAACCAGGTCTGGCTTGCAGGCTCAAGAATAAGAAACGGATTCAGGATGTGGTGGGCACAGTGTTGACCATGGCCCCAGAGGTGCGCAGTAAGGACTATGACGAGAAGGTGGATGTGTGGGGCGTGGGCATGTGCTTGTACATGTCGGCCGTTTGTATGGATCCCTGGTACAACCCCGATGACTATGCAGCCATGGAGGAGGATCAGATTTTGTCGGCTTTGGATGATCCCGAACTCAAGTTGAACTATCACGAGAAACGCTGGAATTTGAAGCCGGATGAAGTCAGGAACTTGGTGGAGAGTCTTTTGGTGGTGAATCCAGCACAACGTCCAAGGGCACGGCAAATTATGACCAACAACAAGTGGCTCATTACCAATGGAAGCACGTCTTTGAAGCAGCAGATGTTTTTCTTTACAAAATCTTTATTCAACTAGACGCTTAGTGACCATAGACGGTTAGAAAGAAATTACTTTGGCTATTTTGGCTCTGGTGTTAGCTGATCTTTTGGAGGAAGAGACGCGGGTGGTGGATGCTGCTGTGCTATCTCCTGAGATCTCCTGAGCTGGAAGTCGTCGGAGTGAGTAGTCGTGCTATTTCGTGAAGCCAACTAATTCCCGTTAGATGGTTTTCTGTGCAGTTGCGAGCTTTCCGTCCCATAATATTTATGTGTATATATATATGTGTGTGATAAGACTATATTATATATTATATATACATAATTATACATACATTATACTACATGTATTATTGTTATTATATATTTATATATTATTTTATATATACATTATATTATATATACATTGTATCAGTATGACAATATATATATAATATAATATATATTATGTATATGTATATATACACGGACCAGATACTTTGTTGATCAAAATTCTTGGGGCTCAGCCTGGACTTGTTCCAAGGCATCTCGCTGCTGTTGGGCAAGGGGAGTGTTTTTTGTGCACCGATCAGTGGAACGGCCGAGGTCCTCGAAGACGCTGTTCACAGACCGAGTAAAGAAATTCTCCACTGCCCCGACATTATTTTGCAATGCAGAACTGCTTGGTGGTTTCCACAAAACACAGATCTGTTAATTTCTGTTAGATTTTCCTCATCCTAAGACATCCCAAAAAAAATGAGATTATCCAAAGTGATGGCCATATTTTGGTTTTCAGGATTGAAACCACCAACCAGTAACCAGGGTGTGTTTGAGAATGGGCTGCCCAGTTCCAAAGGATATCATCGTTTTTTCCCGTGGTAAATGGCAACGCCGGAGATGGCCTACTCGAACAGACCCAGAAAACCAACCTTGCACCACCACTATTGACCGAAGGTCAGTAGTGGCGCTCTCGCTCGTCAAACGGCGAGCCTCAGAACTATTTTGCTTCGGAAAAGAGTTGGCAGAGACCGGTCAAGGACGACGGAAATGCAAGGGATTCATGGCATTCATGGCATTCATGGACCAGCTGACCAGATGAATGGTTGTTTCATTCTTAGTAGCGACCAGACCTGACTTAATCCACCTGTATTCTGGTGACCCGAACCAAGGTACAATGGCCCTGACACAGGGCATGTGAAGACTGTGGTGCCTGGGCAGGCCGAAATTCTGTGAACATTCAAAAAGATATCGTCACTTTTATTGAGGTTGTAAAATGTTGTAAACCCCATACCATAAATCTCAATAAGCCTCCAAATATTTGGAGGCTTCAAATTTCAGCCGTGTCCGGTGCCGCGGCACGGGTGCCTGATGGCAGGTGCTGTTTTGCGACCCAGTGGTGCCAGCCTGCGTTTCCCCGGAGCTCAGCAGCTGCAAATCTTCGACTTGTGGAAGCGCTGACATGTTGCGGGCTGAAGGGGCCATTGACTCACAAAATGCTGGGCATTTTCTGTATCCATCTTGCTCTTAATGTGTATGTGTATGTGTATATCACACATACATAGTATACATAATGACCATGAAGACATCCAAGTAACAATCAATCCAAATGGATCCAAATGGTATTACCCACATTAGCCAATTCAGTTTAGGGCTCAATCATTTTGAACCGTAGCCACGGAAAAAAAAAAACAAAACCGGTGGGATCTCGTTCGACAGACACTGGATGACTGCAGTATGGCAAAGGCTTCGAAAGGCGTTTGCAAGAAAAACACCCATGTAGATATCACATAATAACACATGATAATACATGATAATACATGATAATACATGATAATGCTATAAAGACTTACATGATCTGAATCATTATCTGAATCATTGTTATTCTTTGCAATGATTGGCGTGTTGTGGCACATGTTTTTCTTGGTGCCTGCCAGGCTCAGCGTCAGAATCTGCACCAGCACCTGCACCAGCCCCGGATGCCTTGGTTTCCGTGGAGACGACGGAACCAAGGATTCCACCAGGCGGTCCCCCTCCAAAAATGTGCTCAAAATGTGGGAAATCCAAAACTTGCAGTCCTTTCTCAAAAGCAATGACCAAAGCAAGTGAGAAAAGAAGGACATGTGATAGAAATCGAAAAGACAAAGGAGGAAAGGAATGGTTTCGTCTCCCTTGTGTACATGTTAAGGGATCTTTCCCTTTCCTTATATTTTTCCTTGTATGATTCTGCTCTTATCTTCCTATTGTCTGTTCTCTTGACATTTCTGTTCTTTGCATATGTTTGCATCTTCTTGTCTTTGATTACTGGTTCGGCAATGTGTTTTTCCGCAGTCTCCGGCTTTTCTCGGCGTTGGTTTCTCCAACTATGTGTTCCCTCTTTAGAAGTCTGCGACTGTTTCGTTTTGTTTACCATGTCTGTTCCGTATGCTGCTTCTTCTCTTTTCAAGGTCCGACCTTTTTGTTCCTCTGTTCCGCATGCTGTTTGCCTGGATGTGTTTTGTTTGTTTCTTGGATAGCTCGGATGGTTCTTTCTTCAACCAACACAAATTGGCTGCTTGTGTTTTTCTGGGATTGATCCTTTTCGGGACCTGTTTTTCCTGTGTCACTCAGCCACCTGTCCTGGCGGATAGTAATGATGATTAGTAATGATGGCATGCTTTAGCTATGGGAGTTCCTCTTTATATCGGAAAGAATCCCCATGCACACTGGAATCGAAATTCCATTTTCTCTGTTTTGGCGCTGCTGCTTTGATCCCTTGTTTCTTCGCGCTTCTGTTGCTTGTTTTCCTTCTCCTGTCGCAAAACATATCCCGTCAAAGGTGGAAACATGTGATGAAGTGGATTGAATCTGTCTTTTCTTCTGCATGGGGGTAAGAGGCTGCATGAATTGTATAGTGTAGCTGGCATGATCACAAAGTTTGCAGCCGTAATGGCGACCTGCATGAGCAGGCTGGAGCGTGCCATCAATGCTGGAGGCAAGGCTAGATGACTCCTAAGTTTTCTATGATTTGAACCTGAAGATACCTGCAACTGTGCTGATCCTGTGAAAAAATGTTGTGAGGAGGCCGTTTGTTCACAGCTAATTTGATGCGGAAACCCTGATCAGTCAGGGTGAGGTTCAATTGCTGCAGTAGCCACGGATTGGGCGTGATCAAAAGGATCTCAACAGCCATTGCTTGTTGAACAATGTTGAACACATCACAAGCCAGCTGAGTCACCAGCCAAAGTTGCTAAACAATGTTATAGAATGTTATAGATAGTTCACATAGTTCACACTTGATTTTCGGAGCAAACCCTGAGTTGCAAGCCCGACTCGGTACACTCAGCTTCCAGGCAGTGCAGAGGTGAGCAGCGAGAGGGGTTAGGTCTCAATTGTACATAGTCCAGCAGTTCAGACGCAGGAAGGCAATATCTGCCTAGCAGTTTCCCTACCATCTTCAGGATCCTTGAGGATTTTCAGATGTCTGTAATTCCAATCAATTCCTAGCAGGCTGACTGGGGGTTTATTGATGTTGGCTCACCATACTGGTGAACACCCAAGCAGCTGAGTGTTGTGGATGCTCATACCCCCAATCAACCAATGGTGCTGTATTGATATTTAACCACCTTCGGCGTGTTCCGCCGGCCACCATGGAAAGAGCTATCCTGGAGGCTGCAAACAGCCCTTGCACAGGCCCAGCAAGAACATGCAAGAACATGGTTTTTGTGTAAAACACTGTGGTTGTGGATAACCCAGTTTTGTGTAAAGCAGCTCTTTGTGTAAAAGATGGTTTGGACGCAAAAACATTGGTGTTGTTCAAACCACGGTTTAAGTTACCAAAGCATGTGTGTAAACCAGGGTTTTGGAAAAGGCCATATTGAAAACGGCTTTGGAAAAGGCCATATTTAGAAAGGTTATGCGTGTAAAAGGTGTTCGGCACAAAAGCCAGTGGATCAAGTATTGGATATAAGAAACGACGGAGCAAACCGATGGCAAACACAACAAAAAAACGGAAACAACCATCGAAATGACAGCAAGATGTGCAAAACCAAGCGCAGAGTTGAGCCCACCACAACATAACGAAAGATCAAGACAAAAGGTGGGTTCAAGTTCGACGAGGCAAAAATCCGCGCCAAGGGGAAATTCTAGACAAGACAAAGACAAAAAAAACAGTCCAACTACGAACAAGCAAGATCCACAAGACACGCCGGCAGGCCGGCGGATTGGCTCATCCCCATGTTTCTTCGACCATGTTTGTGTTCTGCAATGAAAGCCAAAACTCAGCGATCAGCTGAAGGGCCACTTCACTAGAGATCGTGGCCAGACAAAAATGCTGTCGCTCAATGGACTCTTGCGGGGCGATTTTAAGCAGCTGGATGCTTTGCACCCATTTGTGAGGTTGAACATCCCCTGAAATTATGCTGCTTAGAGCAGAGAGTGTTGAACCCAAAAAGCTAATGTTGGCAGGGGGAAAATGTCAAATCCAAAACAAAGAAGAGGCGATAGGCGACATTCCATTTCCACCTGCATCACCTGCCCAAGGACTTTCAGAAGTGACCCTCTTCTAGGATGTGAAGTTTTTTCACGCCTGAATGACTGTTCGACTTTCATACAGTGAATGGAAGGGATCCGACATAATTGGTAAATGGTGCGAACTAACTATCCTTGTGCTTGCAAAAGCTGCTCCAGTCATCAGAGCACTCTGAGCACTGTCAGGGAAAGGAAGCTACTCAACAGTTGCAGCGCAACAACAGTGCGCCTGTCCTGCCCCAAGATCTTGTCTCGTACAAAAACAGCTGGGAATTATGCAACATAGTACTTACTTGTTTGTTTTTTTCAATCAGAGGGCCTGGGATGGTGTGTGGTTTGTTCTCAAAGTATGCAGTTGTTTGCATGTTCAAATCTCAAAAAATACGGATTCCATATCATTCCATCATGTTGTACTCTTTTTTTATTGATGATAATTGTCGATGCCATTTCTTTGCCCTGATAGCACTTTTTGAGACTGCAGACTTGGACTTTTGCATGAATGACACGTGGATTGCCTATAAACATTTATAAACATGAAAATATGATGATATAATATATGTGTATGTATTGTTTTAAATATAATATATGATGTGTATATCACGAAAGCTAGCGTCAGCTAGCTGGAGTCTTCTTGCTTTAGCAAGTATTGGGGGGGCTGCTCAAGGACATCACGTGATTTTTCACGCGAAAGGGCCCCCCCCCCTCCCCCACCACCACCACCACCACCACCATCACCATCATCATCATCATCATCGTCGTCGTCATCATCATCGTCATCATCATCGTCATCGTCCTCTCCCTCGTCCTCGTCCTCGTCCTCATCATCATCATCATCGTCGTCCTCCTCATCGTCCTCGTCCTCGTCATCGTCATCGTCATCATCATCGTCATCATCATCATCATCATCATCCTCGTCATCATCATCATCATCATCATCATCATCATCATCATCATCGTTATTCAATTACATTTTATCATTATTGGCAATTATTGTCATTCTCACGAAAGCTAGCGTCAGCTCGCTAGAGTCTTCTTGCTTTAGCACGTATTCCGGGGCTCCCCAAGGACATCACGTGATTTTTCCCGCGAAAGGGCTCCCCCCTGCCCCCTCCCCCATATATATCATTGTTATATATCATATATCAATATATCATTGTTGCATCCTCGTTGGGACGAACAATGCCGCGACACGATGATGACAGTCCCTCCGCAACTCACCTCTTCCCTTCCTTCTTTCTCCTACCCCGCTAGCTTTCGTCATCCACCCCCGGCCTCAAGTATATATATGCAAATATTGTATAATACAATATTAAACATCCCTGATGGGCAGAAACTTTAGGTGTTTATTCCTTCTCTCGGTTTTAATGTGCGATGTGTTTTTTTCCAAACGTGAGTTTCCCAAGGCTTTGGTGGTGAAGGACCGGGTTTTCTGATAGTGATACAATGTTGTGGTGGGCACTTTTGGAGATGGTCCATTCGTTGAGGATTGTTCAGGTTTTTCTTGAACGCTGTTGAAACGTCATGATCCCAGGACCTGCCGAGACATCCTCGAATAGCCTGGCAAGAAGACAGAGGTGATACAATGGCAAGTGAAGTACGTTAAAAAGTCGGCGTGCGACAAAATCAAAGCGTGTGCAAGTTGCAAATCTAACTAGCTGCTCTATCTGCTGCACCTTTAGTTTTTTCAGTGTTCAACTTCTGCCGCAGCATTTGAGGCCTTCCAATCCCTCCGCATCAGGTTTGGACTCTACGCCCGAATTGAAAGAGACGCCAAAAGAGAAACCCAAAACGCATGGCTTCGTGCCGGTATGGGGTCTGCAAGCAGGCCATGCCACCGGGTCGGGTGGTCAAATCAGACCTTCATGTCTTCCAGAATTGGAAGGGTAAGAAATGCAGGAAAGTCATGGAAAGTCCCAGAATTACCACGAAACAACAATGGTCTTCTGTAAATGTTGCAATCCATTGTTGACCCATGGTTGCTCCACTGGAGGATGTGCGTCGTTTGTTTGTCGAACCCAAAACCCAGAACGGAACCGGAAGACTGGAAGCCTGGAACCTGCTGATGGGTTGCAAAGCTGGGTTAATGTTGGCCTGGAGAAGTGTCCGGTCAATCAAGTAGTATTGATGTTCACAGGTTCAGAGGTTTCCTGTTATAATCTGTTATATAACTAAGCCTGAGGGTCAGATCAATGAAGGGACAGGTGGATGGTTCGTATCACGAAAGGGGAACTTATCTCAATAGTGTTTGGATGTGCAGGGCACTGTCAGTGTGTTAAGTCTGGCTTCAATTCGATGGTTTTGTACAGCTACTTCCCCAAGTAGCCAGCCCAGGAAAAGCTGGTGTGTGTTTGCGCCATATTGAGGTTTGAAATAGCAAAACCGATCGTTTTCGTCGCTGGGTTATTGAAACGCTTTCCGACTAGTAGATCCAAACATGTTTGCCAAAGAAAAACATGGAAAAAACAAATAGACGGACATGACCAGTTGTGCTTGCCCCTCAGGCCTTGAAAAGTTGACTCCTCCAAAGGTTGTGCAGCATCACATCCAGGTCCACTTGCCGAGCTCGTGTTTTTCAGTAGCCTTAATTGGCTTTCCACGGATCAAGATGATTGACCTAACAATTTGATGGTTGAATGGCGAACCAAACATGTTGCGAAACTCCATTTTTTGTTGTTTGAGCCATCCATCCCTTTGAATACAACTTGTGATGGTTTTGCCCCTTTTCAGTTGCTTATAATGTTTGAATATGGTTGTGAATTCGTGCGCAGATGTGGATGCGGTAAGGGGTTGGAGTGTAACGACTGCAGCTGGGACAACAGCACCATGCAGGGCGGAAGTGCAGAAGGTGATGCTCCTGGCATGCTTGGCACTCAAAGCAATATCTATCCTGCTTGATGTTGTGATCGGACTGTTCTACACATGTCTACACCAGAGAGATCCAATTTCCAACAGCTACTGCAACTTAGTGTACCATGTATGTACTCATTATCGAGGTAACACAGTGCCGTTGCTCCTCCAATTACGCTGGAGTGGATATGTTGGATGTTGTCGAGCCTGAACATTGTTATATCAGGCACGGACATTGTAAAGATCAAGATGTCCAAGACGGACTTGAACGTGGAATTGGAAATGGCAGGCACCAGTGTTGGAACGTGCTGGAAACCGGAGGTATATACAGGGAAGTCAACCATAGAAGACTAAAGTTCTAGTCCAGTTGATCTATTTGACCCTTGGAGCAGCATTGATGAGAACGATGATAGTATCCTTACGATTGAGGCATTGAGGCTGGCCCTTTCCATTGGTATTTTGTGGCATTTCAAAAACAAGACTTCACCCTTTTAGCCCTTCCAATTCCCGGTGGCGAGGCGCTACATTGGCACGCAAAGCCACTTTGTGCAGAATGCAGTGACAGCCAGTGACGGCCCTACAACGCATGGGAATGTAAAGGACGGGTGCTGCAAGCTGACATGAGACCAAAGCCCCATATTTCCAAGAACTCCTGTAAGTAAAAAGATTCGTTGAAGGTGTCAGCACAGATTGGCCACCCCAGCCGAAGCAACATGTTTGAATATGTTTGAGCGTCGCGATGGTATGGATATGGATGAAGATCCAGTAGCAATATGTAGCAATGATAAACCGGATCTTAAGGTTCTGATAGGATGTGGGGATTGTTCATGAGGATGGCCATGATGGCCACCGGTGGCTAAAGTTTTTAGCTGTCTCGGGTGCCATTCCATTCAGTGTCATTCATGCCCAGGAACAAGAACGCGGCTTACTGTGGTATCTCCGCGAAAGATAAATCTAGGGTTTATTCTAGGGCCATTTAGCTGGAGCGATATAATATCAAAGCATGTATCATTTTACATATCAAACATGTCAAAACATATATATCAAAACATATATCAAAACATGTCAAAACCCAATGATCAAGATGCTTGTCTAATCTTATCCAGTGTTCTGCGATGTTCTGCATCCCGAGGGCCCTGGTTTTTTTGCAGGACTTGGCGAGCCACCTGGGAAGGCAACGGCGAACCGTCCAGGCCACAATGTGTTCTGCGATGTTTTCATATGTTTCCTGCCAAGTATTTTTTTATTTTTTGTGGGAAAAAATACAGATTTTGGACACACATGATAGCTATTAAATAGTTATTGATAGATTCATATAGATTCTATAGATCATGTCAGAGATATGCATTTCGATTTTTGAACTGCGCCAATGAGACGCACAGGTTCCCAATCAGATCTTCGCTGGTGTGGGCGATGCCGGTGATGACATTCCTTTCGGAGAGATGGGTTGGCCGGGATGCTGGGAAATCAACTGTGTAAAACTGTGTGTAAAAACAGGCAGCGTGGGACCGGATAACTAAACGCAACGAAATCACAGGAATACAATGAATTTATAATGAATATATAATGAATATATCATGAATATATATTTGATTAAATAGGAAAAGTGATCAATTCCGCGGATCCTAGCCATACACATAAGGTGTTTTTATGGGCATGTTTGGTCAGTTGGGATTCATTTTTCGTAGATCAGGGGATCCATGACAGGATTGAAGCCCATCAACCCTGGTGAAAATCACGGCACTTCAAAGGCTTGGCGCTGGGAGACGGCATTACGCGGTGAAGGACTGGGAAGCGACAAAGAGTTGGAAACGACAAAGTTCCGATGTGAAATTCGAAATGGGCTGGTTTGACCAAGTGCGGAAAACACATCAGTTTCTCAAGTTGTAGTTTCATGATGTTTGATGCAACATGATGCAACTTTTTTTTGAAGGTTTGTGACCTGCGTTTGGGCTGCTTTTCTACGACTGTACTGCTGTACTGAGTCATACTACGCACGGTAAGTGGACAGATGGCCGGTACAGTAGCTATACACTATTAGACACGTGCTCGCCCGCTGCAAACTTAAGTCACATTTGCATGCATTTGCAAGACTTCACCACGGAAACTTAATGCATCGCTTTCTCTGCAGGAGAACATTGTGGGTGGCGTCTCAGAAGATCAGGCCAATGTGCGTGATCGTAACATATCGCAACTACTGTTGTGTTGTGCAGATCCAGTACAGTACCCTCTGGTAATTTAATATAACTATGGAAAATCACCATTTTTAATGGGAAAATCCACTATTAATGGCCATTTTCAATAGCTACGTTAAATTACCAGAGGGTAGTTCATAAGTTGTCGCATGTTGTCGCTGCCTTTCCGCTCCATCCACATCAGAGCATTCGACCTTGTCAAGGTCACACCCACGCGCCGAATTCCACGACAGCAACGAGACCACGTGTCCGGTAACCTGATCCATGCGCACATCCTCACCTGGTTTTCTGGGTTGATGACATTTTGGTTTTTGATGGGTTTTTGTATTTTGCTCGATACTATCTGTTTGACTTCAGCTCCTCTGTTTTTGGTCATGCCTAAAACTGGGAATATACCGGGATGGTGGTCCCAGTGACGTGATCTCCGAGGCATGGTGGCAGTGGAACCGACACCCCGCCGGAAGCTCAATAGTTCCACGATGTTCCACGAGTACCCCCAGAGGCCATACTATTACTGTGATGTACTATGATGTACTATGATTCTGATATACTATGATGTATTATGATATACGATGTTTTACTATGTTTTACTATGTTTTACTATGATATACTATGATATACTATGATGTATTATGATATACTATGATATACTATTATATACTATGTTTTACTATGTGTTGCTATGATATACTATGATATACTATGAACATCTATGAACTATGATGTACTATGTTGTGCTATGATTCTGATATACTATGATGTATTATGATATACGATGTTTTACTATGTTTTACTATGTTTTACTATGATATACTATGATATACTATGATGTATTATGATATACTATGATATACTATTATATACTATGTTTTACTATGTGTTGCTATGATATACTATGATATACTATGAACATCTATGAACTATGATGTACTATGTTGTGCTATGATTCTGATATACTATGATGTATTATGATATACTATGTTTTACTATGTTTTACTGTGATATACTTTGATATACTATGATGTATTATGATATACTATGATATACTATTATATGCTATGTTTTACTATGATGTATTATGATATACGATGTTTTACTATGTTTTACTATGTTTTACTATGATATACTATGATATACTATGTTATACTATTATATACTATGTTATACTATAATATACTATGATATACTATGATATACTATGATTTACTATGATGTACTATGATGTACTATGATATACTATGATTTACTATGATTTACCATGATATACTATGATATACTATGTTATACTATGATATACTCTGGTGTATTATGATAAACTATTATATACTATGTTATACTATGATGTACTATGATACTATTACTATACTACTACTTGTTATATACTATGGATATCTATGGATATTTTTGTGGGGAACATGATCAGCCAATTGATTTGGGGAGCCACATTTTGCACAGAACCACCTAAAACCAACACCATATTAAGAGAAACACCATATTAAGATTATGATAAGTGGTATAGCAAAATCGGCCCTTCTATCTGGGTTTGTCTTCAACTTGATTCAGGGATTTGAAATGTTTATTCGTTGATTTGAATCGCTCCGTTGGTTCTTTTTCCAGCATGTGTGTGCTTTCCTTCGTTCAAAAATTGGTTCCCGTGCGTGTTTTTGCTCGACCAGTAGCCACCGGCTCCTGCTTGTAGGCAACTTGTTGCGAAGATAGGTTGCTGCATTGGTCACAAAAGGATCAGATCAGATGTTGGTGCATGATTGGGATGTTCGAGCATGCTTTAGAGAAAAGACAGTGTTGCGTCACATCCATTGCCGGGCATGAGATGCATGAGTGACGAACTATGTTTATGCTCCTTTGACATTATTTTCATTATTATTCTCACTCAGGTCATTTTCATGCAAGGTGGACATGTCACCCATGAGTATGTCTGTTGTTTTTTTCCAAGACTCTGCACAAGACCAACAGTTGACATGCGCCGACGGTTCGAAGTCGGTGCCAATGTGGACAAGGAAGGCCATGCCTGTTGCGACGTGAAGCTGGTTTGTGGATTCATTCATATGTTTTCTATTTTTTTCTCATCTACAACTGGGATGATTGGGGGCCCTAAAGATTTGATTATTCTCAGGGCTGGCTTCACAACAGCCAAGCTGGTGGATTAAATCTCCCCCTTCTTGGGGTTTCTAAAACCCCTTTTTGGGTGGGTAGCTCAAACACCAACCAGCAGGTTATTCTGGATTTACTCGTGTTGGCCAATAGCCATGATATCCCATGGTGCTCCCATCTGTCGGGTTGGCCAATAGCCACCAACAACTCAGTCACTGTTGGCAAACATCCCTGGCAGTTTATTGGTTTATGTCCTCATAATGTCCCGTTGATGGCGTTAACCTCATTTTTGCCAAGTAGCCCCAAGCATGGTTAGTTTGCTGGTTGATATTCCCATGTTTGCGGGTTGATATCTGCTATGATTTCCCTGCAACTATCCTGTGGATGGAGGGATCAACCACCACCCATCAATTCATAGTTCGTTAAGATCCCGATTTCAAATATACCCACTAGATCATTTTTGATAATTTTAGATGTCCACTGGAACCTCATCTTTGGGCGGCACAGCCACCAGGAAATGGGTTCAACCAGAGATCTTCGGCTCCAAAGCCTCTGCCACGGCCACCTTAAGTTCCACCGCCACCACAGCGCGCGAATTTTCGCTGCGCCTGAGCTCCCCAGTGTGGCGCGCTTCCGGGGATCTTGAGGTGTCCCGAAAAAAGCGGGAAGAAACGGCCTCCGGATATTCCAGCATTTGCACCCAGGGCCTTTTTCGACTGGGTGGTGGTCTGAATCAACTGGGCTCCTGGCGACTGGATGCAGATTGGTCGCTGAGGGATTTGGACCCTAAAGGAGCTCCACAGCATTATCCATCAATGCAACTGCAACAAGAGCAACTGAGGTCAATGAAGACCAGCCTGAAGTATACCACCAGTCGATATGCGGAAGTATTTTCTGGCCTCCTGAATGCCAAAGTTGCAATGGAGGTGGCTGGGCCACCGGGGAATGTGTCATTCCTGCGGGGCGAGGCAACAGTGAAAGCTGGAGTTCCTTTCAATGCCCTGGGGAGACTCTGGCAAGGCCACCTTTCCATGGGCTGCGGCTTGCTGTTGCCAGCAGCCAGAAGTTGCCTACAGGATCGGTTCCATCTGGGTGGTGCTTCCGGCACTTCCTCACTGAAAGGCTTCAAAGAGCGGGGAGCAGAGCCACGAGAGCTCTGCGCGCAAAGGACCTTGGAGCTTAAGGAATCCGATCGACACCAAGATGCTCAGGGAGGTGAAGCAATGGCCTCTCTCTTTACAGCAGTGTCCACTCCATGCCACTTCTTGCGCTTAGAAGGTGCTCAACTTTTGGGTTTCCTGGGCTTCGGCGTTTTGCAGCGGTCCTTGCATTCCCGAGGAGAAATCGTTCGAGTGTCTGCCGGCTGTGGCATCACTCTGCCGTTGGGGCCGGGGAGTTTGGAACTCACCTTTGCGCAGCCGTTGCGGAGCGGTGCAGCAGATGTGTTGCAGAGGTGGCAACTTGGCCTCAGGCTTCATATCGAGGATTAAAGTATGATTAAAGTGGGAGCTTGGAAGACTCTTGGAAGATTGGCCATGATTTCCATGCCAAGACCCAGGAACAAGTTGCGAACCGCTTGCTGAAAAGGGCACATCGATGAGACTCACGGTCGCCTGTGAAAACATGGTCACTTAATTCTGGAGTCGGCTTCCCCAATCAGCTAGACTACACCTGTCCCAGGAAGCAGGAGGATGTACTAGCTATAGTCTGGGCATGGCCCTACAAGTACATTGGCAAATCCTTCAATGAACAACAATAAGATCAAGTATCACTCTAGCAAAGTACTGTAATTACTTGTACTTGTATTGTCTGCATGCACATGCCGTATTGTCATGCCAGTGTTTTGTATCTCACACATACGAAGGCCGGAAAGCGAGGTTCGCTATGGCCGACCACGGGAGGTGCCGTGGAATTCTCGCAAACTGTCCGGCAATGGATGATGGCAATGGATGGCAATGGCTCATTTGTAGATGATTTTCCGACTAGCTATAATATTGGAATGACATGGAATATGAATATCATTGAAATATTACGTGTGAACTATGAATAGCCAGCTTTGATGACTGGCAGATACAATATGATATAATATGATACAATATTTGCTGCTGTTCCCACACAGTCTAGATACAAGTACTCATACCTAGCAAGCCAAGTCAAGGCTGAATCAATGGCAACAATGTTGGAAAATCTCGAAAGGTAGCGGTGAGCTACCTGAGTTCCCCCTTGCGTAGCAAGTATTAGGGGGCGAGCGGTGCAAGTGCAAGAGTTTGGGCCGGTTATGTCTCGGTCCGCCTTTCAAGGGGGGGGGGGGCCCCCCCCCTTCGATTCCCCCCAGGTCCGCCTCTAAAGCCGGGTTTGCAACATAGGCGGACTACAAGGAAACGCCAACAGCCGCACATGCACTTTCATCCACCACGTTTACATACATCCCCACCCCAACCGAAGTCAAGACCCGCACTGAAACTCGACAATGTCAGATTGCTCAAGAACTTTGTTTCGTTCACCCTAACAACCGCGATGAACAATGTCGTAGCAAGAACGTTGCGACGGACTGCGTTGCAGTAGTCTCAAAAATCGTACATGATATACCAGTAGTACCGCACAAGGCGGTGGCGGAAGTTTCAAAAATAGGAAACCTATAGGAGAGATTGGTTGTTGTGAATCAGAGATGGCAGAGCGAAGCCACTGCTGGACTGAAAGGCGATTGATCTCTCTCACTCTTGTCTACCTGTCTATCTATCTATCATATCTATCTATCTATCTATCTATCCCTCTATCCCTCTATCTATCTATCCATCTATCTATCTAATCTTATCTTATCCTATCTTATCCTATCTTATCCTATCTATCTATCTATCTATCTTCCTATCTATCCTATCTATCCTATCTATCCTATCTATCCTATCTATCCTATCTATCCTATCTATCCTATCTATCCTATCTATCCTATCTATCCTATCTACCCTATCTATCCTATCTATCCTATCTATCCTATCTATCCTATCTATCATATCTATCCTATCTATCCTATCTATCCTATCGATCCTATCTATCCTATCTATCCTATCGATCCTGTCTATCCTATCTATCCTATCTATCCTATCTATCCTATCTATCCTATCTATCATATCTATCATATCTATCATATCTATCATATCTATCATATCTATCATATCTATCATATCTATCATATCTATCATATCTATCATATCTATCATATCTATCTATCTATCTATCTATCTATCTATCTATCTATCTATCTATCTATCTATCTATCTATCTATCTATCTAATCTATCTATCTATCTATCTATCTAATCTATCTATCTGTCTAGCTGTCTACCTGTCTATCTTTTGTGCAGTGTCATTCAGTGTAATGTGGTGTGGTGTAATGCAGTGTAATGTAGTGGAGTGTAGTTGTAGTTGTAGGTGGTAGTGGAGTGTAGTGTAGAGTAGTGTCGTGAAGTGTAGCGGCAGGTAGTGTAGTGTAGTGTAATGTAGTGTCGTGTAGTGGAGTCTAGTGTAGTGTAATGTAGTGTAGTGTAAGGTAGTGTAGTGTAGTGGAGTGTAGTTGTGTAGTTTTAGTTGTAGTGTTGTGGAGTGTAGTGTAGTGTAAGGTAGTGTAGTGTAGTTTAATGTTGTGTAGTGGAGTGTAGTGGAGTGTAGTTGGGTAGGTGTAGTTGTATTTGCAGTGTAGTGGAGTGTAGTGTAGTGTAATGTAGTGAAATGTAGTGTAGAGAGTGTAGTGCAGTGTAATTTAGTGTAGTGGACTGTAGTGGACTGTAGTGGACTGTAGTTGTGTAGTTGTAGTTGTAACCTGTAGTGTTGTGAAGTGTAGTGTAATGTAATGTAGTGTAATGTAGTGTAGTGTAGCAAAGTGTAGTGTCATGTAGTGTAGTCGAGTTAAGCGAAGCAACATCTGAACCGCCAAAAGTGGTCCGAAACCCTAGTGTTTTTAACATGTTAACTTCCAAATCTGCTTCGCGCCACAACGGCGTGCACTTTTTCGAAACTCGACATCTCAGCCTCCAAAAGTGGTCCGAACATGCTGTGGTTTGTACATTTTGACTTCGAAATGTGCTTCGCGCCACAGCGGCGTGCACTTTTTCGAAACTCGACCTCTGAGCCTCCAAAAGTGGTTCGAACCCCTGGTGTTTTGCACATTTTGACTTCGAAATGTGCTTCGTGCCACAACGGCGTGCACTTTTTCGAAACTCGACCTCTGAGCCTCCAAAAGTGGTCCGAACCCCTAGTGTTTTTAACATTTTGACTTGGAAATGTGCTTCGCGCCATGACGGCGTGCACTTTTTCGACATCTTAAGTGCCAAAAGTGGTCCGCACTTGGTGTGTTTTGTACATTTTGACTTGGACATGTGCTTCGCGCCACAACGGTGTGCACTTTTTCGACATCGCAACTTCCAAAAGTGGTCAGACCCTGGTGTGTTTTGTACATTTTGACTTGGGGATGTGCTTCGCGCCACAACGGCGTGCACTTTTTCGACATCTGGAGCGCCAAAAGTGGTCCGATCCTCTGGTGTTTTGTGCATTTTGACTTGGAAATGTGCTTCGCGCCACAATGGCGTGCAATTTTTCATGTCTCATCTCCCCATATGTCTCCGCACCCGCCGCTTTAGCGAGCCTACTTTTCGACCCTCCGGAACCACAAATCATTGGAAAAACACAGTGACTCGCGACTTTCCTACCTTTTCGCGCATCTGCATCTTCTTTCTTCTGACTCTTTCTCTTCTGAACTTTCTCTTCTCTCTGCCTCTGCCCTGCTCTGCTTTTCATCTGTCCATATTGTCGGAAGTTTAGCTTCTCAACTTCCTTCGACAATATAGTTAAAGATATGTATCTATATAAATATATATACACATAAAAATTCCATGATATATATCCATATATACTAAATAATCTCAATATACATATAGATTCGTATATATATATATTTATATGCATACTCTACCCAGCAATTGTGGGATATTGCGCTTTGGCTAGTGGTTGCCGAAGCATAATCGCTGCCCCTTGCTCAGCATATCTAGATCATTTGGTGGATTTTCCGCAAGGGTTCCTCGAAGATATTCTCTTCAACCAAAAGACTTCGCTAATGACATTTCAATATGTTTCATATATATGTATATTCGTATATATATAGTTATCATGTATAATAACTAGAACACCTATAATGACTAGAATTACTATAATAACTAGAACATAATTATCACAACTATATTGAACCCCCTCCTTCGATTCCCCCAAGGTCCGCCTCTAAAGCCGCGTTTGCAAGAAGTCACCCCGCGGGCCCACTTTTTGCACCAAGATTCCAGCACCAGGATAGCCCTAAGTCAGTTGCTTTGGGTACATGCTGGGGTCAAAACACCACGTTTGTGAATCCCACACTGTTCTACACATGTACACACCAGAATCAGCCCCATCCGCGTTGCAACAATGTGCTGCCCCCAGTTACACGTTGCCTCGCAAACCCCATAACCTGATATTTATACATATATCTAACTATATGTATGTATATATATATGTATATATATGTCTGTGTGTCTGTGTGTGTGTGTCGTGTCCCCCCTCCCTGAAACCTACCTTTTTGGTACCCGCCCTCGAGTCCAAGCCCAGAAGACTTTTTTCGATATCCGCCCCAACTCCACCCCCGTCCGTCCGCAGCGGATATGCCTCGTTCCCTTGCTCTCTTCTCCTGTTCCAACCCACGCCTACCTTTCGATCTTTCACCCTTCCCTCTCAAGTGTCATGTTTCAGCTGGAGTTGAAGACCCTAGGATGGTTAGTGGAGACATGTGGAGACAATAAACCCAGGAATTGGATGATCTTTGAATGGGGCGTTGCTCCCTGGTTCGTTGTGAGGCTGCCTTCCAAGAGGGTCTTGAACGCTACATTGGCCATGGACGGCGTCCGGACGCCCTCTGCAGACGTCATGATTTGCATCTCATGATGACGGTGGTTCTTCACAAACCGTTGTTCCCCTAAGGGCATTGTCCGGAGTGGAGACAACAGGACAGAAGTGAGTCTCGTTTACAAAGTTTACAATCCTGGTTGCAGATGCGGCTCGTCGGTTCTGCATTGGAGAACAATCGTGCCTTGGTTCGAGTGACAAATGACAACCAAATATAACCAAATCATAAATCTTTGTTTTCGAATCTATTACCCTCTGGTAATTTAACATAGCTATGGAAAATCACTATTTTTTATGGGAAAATCATCCCCCTTGCCATTTCCTCCACAGAATGGGGGGGGTTGGGGTGCCTATATGGCATCATTTTATGGGAAGTGTTGGCCTTAAATGGGGTCGAGCATGCCATTTTGTAGTAATTTGTGGGTTTTACCTGGTTTTATCATTTTTGTTTTGAAGGCATGATCATTTTTGGGCACCAAGACAAACCATTTTGTAACAAACAAAAAGCCATTTTGTAGATGTTTTTAAGGGTATGATTTGGTGGTTTTAAAAAATGTGAATTAGTCATTGACAAAGAAAAATCAGCTAGCCATTCTGTAGAGAAACCATCGTTTCAATAAATGTACCATTTTGTAAGTGCACATTTGTGTTTGCAATGGTTGGCTCGGAAACACTTTAGGACATTTCAATTTCCCCGCCGTCCCAGTAACCCACCATGTTGGCCCTCGCATGCTTGGTGCTGATCGCACAAACACTGCACCAATCCAACAACCCCCACAACACACCACCCACAACATCCACATGACAACCTGATGGAACATATGACAAGAAACCCCTAGACCCCAAATACTTTCAAAATCCCCCTTGCCATTTCATGGGTGAGGTTGGGGGGGAGCATTTTGTAGTGAACCACCCCTTTTCTCTGCAAAATGGCTCCAGTACACAGTCTCCATCCTACAAAATGGTCTGTCTATAACCCATGGGGTATGTTTTTTCTAGAAAATGGTTAGGCCTGCTGCCTAGAGTCGACCATTTTGTAGACTGGTGTAGGTCTGAAGATAGACCCTGTTTTTATGATTGTGTTGAAAAGAGCAGTGGCAAAGAATTGTGATTGAATTTGTTCCTTCTGGATCCTTCTGGATCTTCTCGGATTCTTTAGCCTTATCCAAACTTCGATACCGATTGTTCCCTGGAAGATCTGTGTTAAAATAGCATTCTTCTCCTGATCTTCGTTTTTGCTTTGGGACCGTTTTTGTGACTGGAACATACTGGAACCGGAAAAAGTTTCCATCTTCAGAAGGATTGCCAGCACATTGTTGGCAAAAAAATAGAAAAATATTCATGCTGCAAAAGTTGCATGAAAAAAAAAAGGATCCACCTCCGAAAAGGAGGAGTGAAGACGACTAGAGGGTAAAAACCCTACAAAATGGCACTGGGAAAAAGGCAGTTGACGCTGAGGTCTTGACAAGATAGAGGCTCTACAAAATGGCTCTGGGATTTTTATATGTTTTATAAAATCATGAATGCACTGGTTTGATCATTTTTTGACTAAATTGTCAAAATATTGGTGGATCAAAACAGGTGACAGGCACTACCATTTTGTAGAGCCATGGGTTATAGACAGACCATTTTGTAGGATGGAGATTGTGTAGCAGAGCCATTTTGTAGAGACAGGGGTTGGTTCACTACAAAATGGGGCACCCCAACCCCCCCAGGGAATGGGAAGGAGGATGGAAAATCCACTATAAATGGCCATTTTCAATAGCTATGTTAAATTACCAGAGGGTAGAAATGATGAAATTCACATGTGTTACCCTGTGGGCTGCACCGATCTGCACCGGAAGATTCAGGACCAGATCTTTCGCCCTGAGCCCGAAGCTGTTGAGTCGCACGAGCCCTAACATCAAGCTGAGAAAGCGCAGCGGTCATTTTATCTATTTGGCCATTTAATCAAATAGATAAAACAAAATATAGCCATAAGTGAGTATATTCCTAAGTGGTTACTTACATTTACTTACTATAATGTCTAACCATAATATAAACAGTACATTTAGTTTGTGGTTCCTGTGAGGCCAGCGCATGTGCGGCCTATTGGCGGTGCAGACCATATTGTGCCATGCTTGGGGTGGCGGCTCATCGGTTGAAAAGAATGACGCACCAAAACAGTGTTGATAAATGTTCATCATAGATAAATGATGATACTGATAAGTATAGTATAGTATAGTATAGTATGATTCTTGATAATGTCCATACATCTTCATAGTTCTTTGTTTTTTCATAAGTATAGTACTGAAATGTACTGAATATCTGAATCAAATATAGATGTGATGGATCCTTCATGAATATCTTTGTAGGGTTTGATACCTTGATTTTTTTCGGCTGCAACTCTGGCTCGATCTGATTGAGAGGTCGAATTGAGGGCGTCTCAAAGATATCATAAGATATCCATATCCCATTGTACCCGGGACTGCAAGGGTTCCATCTTTTGGCCAAGAGCATCCAGCAAGAAATCTCCTGGAAGTGTCTTTGTCCGAATTCTCGCTTCAACTTTGATGCTTGTGTTCCCGAGCACGCTATACCGCTATACTTTGTAAACTGGAGAGAGGTGGAGGTGCGCTACAGGTGGTAAATCATAGTAAGTGTATGTAACGTCCCATCTAAATGACATAAAATATCTACAAGTGCGTGGCTATTGGAGCCAAGGTAAGAACACATGGCCAAGCAACATGTGCAGAGGACAGAAGACGGGCCAGCACAAGATGTCAAACTACAACGCTTTTGTAGTTTGCGTTGCTGAATTGTTTGACACACAGAAGGTAATCTGAGTGATCATGGAACGAACTTGCATGATGTGTAATTCAAGCTTGGTTCCATGTAAATCTACAGCTGCTGGACACCATGAAGACATGCTTGCAGATTTTTAGAAGGTGCAGATGTCTGAGGCTGCCCAAATGCCAAGGGTAAGCCAATGTTAAGCTGATGGTAAGCCAGTTTTCGGTTTCGTGGTGCCAGGATACGCCATCGGAGCAAGGGAAGCGACATTTCGGGGCTGGGTCACCCAGTCTCTGCACAGATTGAAAGGTCATCGCTTTTGTCAGTGACCTGGAAAACTGGAAAAGGATTGCAAATGGTATCAAATGGTCCCGTAATCGGCGCGAGCTCGCCCCTGAGTGTCACTGGCGCTTTTGAAAGCCTTGAACCATTGAAAACTACCAGTGCAACACAGGCAAGAGATCGCATTGGCTTTGGCTGCTCTGTGCTTCCGAGCGACGGCAAGGATCCGCTATGATCCGCTTTGAGCAGATCCAATACCACGAGGGTTTCCACGAGGGATTTACCGGTTATGACAGTTCGCCATGGTATAGATGGCCCATAGAAATAGATGGTTTAATGATGGTTTACCGTTCTGAAAAATGGGTGGATTTTCCATGGCTATGTTAGTCATAACCAGATGGTAATACTTTTGGGATGGAGTGCAGGCCTCGTCTCACCGCATTTGCAGAGACACTTCTTGTGGTGGTGCTGATGGTTGATGGGTTCGTCCAAAAATGGGGGATACGTTCGTTAAACCACCGAGAGTGGCACCGTTAATAGAAGAAATGACGAGAAACCACGGATGGGGCTATTTTTTTCAGAAGAAAGCAAATGCAGAACTTGTGATGGGTGGTTGATGGTGGTTGATTTTTGCCGCAAGGAAGCATCACAACTACTTTCCTGATTTTTTTCCAGGCAGTTGTGGGATCGCGTGGTTTCTCACTGATTGGCTTCCGTTTTCCCTGCGAAACTGCACGCGTGTTCTTATGTTCTTCTTAAAAGTATATTACAACATGCCATAATATAACATAATCATACATACATACATATATATATATATATGTTGTAAGAGATTGTCAACTAGTCAAGTAGTGATCAAATAATGGGTGAACCTGAAGTTAACCCCCAAATTGGTTGTTTTTCTCTTGAGGAATCTATCGCCCAAGGAGGACTATGTGCAGGGCTTGCCCCGGGGCATTGGTCAAGGGAAGCAGCGCATCTTTGAGAAGGCCAGGGCACCACAGAGTTTTTGGTCATGTTTAGTATGAACCAGCCAATTTTAGGGATATCCAAGTTTTAGATGTTCACAGTCACCATCTAAAGTTGGGGATTTTGACCGTGACCCACCGAAATGTGCCTTTTACACCTCAAAATTATCCGAAGTTGTCGATTTCATCGGAGAAGTTTTCCCACCAAATGGGACCTTTTGTGCCTCAAAATCGGATGGGTACCGCTGAGTTTTTTGGGTTTCGGACAATTTGCTATGAAATGAAGACTAGTTTTTGGTGGAGTGCAGTCACAAGTGAAGCAGAATGCCTTGGCCATTTGATAAGTACTTCTCGTCTGTGGGTGCTACGGCTGTTTGCTGAATTGTGCTTTGCTGTCCTTCCGTGGGATATGTGTTTCCCAAACACGAGGATTCACATGGAACGTGAACTTATGCAGTGTAGCCTGCGATTCATACATTTTATCTTCAATTGCAGCAGCAAAGTCTTGGGCACTAGGCCAGCACCCTTTGGGCAGCAAGCATTGTACAAAAGAATGGCTAAACCTCAAGGGTTGACTGGATGAATGTCATAATTCCGAGGCCCATGGGCCCATGTGTTTTTTAAGAAATGGCAGCAGGCCCCTTGGAGCTGAAAGACTGTTTGTAGATGAATGTACATCCAGCATCAATGCCCGGTTGTATCAGCTCCATGTTCTAATATGTTCTAATAATGGATCATATCATGATATATCATCATAGGTTTTTCATGGTTTTTCAACAGGATAGAATTGTTCACAGGTGCACTGTGCGATCGCAGGACCACTTGATGGGTGTTCTTCGTCGCACCGAAGACAATCCTGGAAGCCATGGTCATTCCAGGTCTTGGGGGTTACCGCGGTTGCCCAGGAATGGCGTTTCTTTCTCTCTGTCTTACTGGGGGCCAGTACCAACGTTAGTAAATATAGCAAATGTAATGTAAGAGATAGTAAGAGTATGCATAATAGATTATATATAATAGATTGTAATAGATTATACAGTAATATCAAGTTATAGTTGGAAGTGCCGTGCTGAAATCGGGTTGGAATCCCTTCGCATGACCTCCAGGGATGACGACTTCCAAGATGGATTGGAGCGGGGTATTGGACACGGGAAGCCAGGATCACGGAGAGGGATTGGGGCTGGGAAGGCTGGGAAGATACGGAGCCCGGCCGTGGATCCACATATGGCCGCATTCCAGTGCTGTTTCATCATGTTTCATCTATTTTGCCAAGGCATCACTGCATTTACAACAGTGCACTACATCCATTTCATGATTTTGATATGTTCTGAGAAACCCTGTTTGTTTTTAAGGGAAGCATGTGCCCCGAATCACCCTAGCCGATAGATTCTCAAAGAGAAACACAGTGCCAGTTGAGGTTACGGCACTGACTTTATCCATCCAGACTTTCAAGTAATGGCGAGTCATGCTCATATTTCATATACTAATTCTTGATATTGTCATATATTGTCATGATTGTAAATTGTTATAATCATTCTTATGAAAGCCCTGAGTTCGTTGAAGCCATTTGCGCAGTCTTTGGGAGTTGAGCACATTAATTTTTTCGCATTGTTGCTCAAGCGCCTGCATCTCTCGATCTTGAACGGCCAGAAAAGGCCTCCCAGCTCAGTTTCAACAGAAAGATACCAACAAATCTTGGAGATGAGCATTGGAAATTTGCTTTGGTTTGAAGATTTTGTCAGGGCAAAAACAGAGCTGTGATACATCAAGGAGCGTCTTGTATTTTTAGCTACTGTGCCATACCGTGCCTTCTTTGGGAGCAAGTTGTAAAAATGTTGTAAAATGTTGTAAATTACCGTATTCCTGATAGATCAGCCTTGATCAAACCGGAAAAGGGCCTGAGAGTTTTGACGTCTCACTATCCGGTCACCTATCCACCTTCATAACCTTGATGACCTTGCCCCTCAGCTCTTCTGGCAACAGACGTCCGCCAGCCCTAAGATCTAAGTCATTGGCCATTCGACCAAAAAGATTCCACCACAGAGAACCTCGTTTGTAATTGTCCACGTTTGTACCACTTCATTTAATTTGCAAAGGAGATGCTTTTCACATATACATGGTTGCATGTGTTTCCTGTGCTTCCATAGGGTAAAAACCACGAGCTGTACTACCGTTACTACAGCATGCCGCAGGCAGAATTGGCTTTTTAAGATGGCCACCACTGATGCGCAGCTGCCCTTCATGCCTCAGGCAGCTTCCTGTGTTGCATTTTGTTGCTGTTCATTCTTCTTTTGTTTATTGTTGGTTCTTCTCCAAATGGCACAGTCTTGCTTCTACTACTCGCTGTCATGGTGAGTCGTATTGGTACCTTGTGGTTGCAAGCTGCAGCAGCGAGAAATAGGTTCGGGCAGTGGGAGCCATTGCTAGCGGGCTCGGAGGTGTTTGAACCCCAGCTCAGGATTGTTGAGCAGTGAAGTGTACTCCCCTTTGCCCAGATCTGTGTTGGAAAAACTAAAAGGCAACTCGGTGCAAAACACAAACCATTGGGGTTGAGGAAGAACAAGGAAGAAAAAAATTGAAAAGAAAAAGAAAGGGAATCTTCTTGAGGTTTTTTTACCTGTTTTTTAGGTGCCCATATATCCCATATATTCCCAATTATTCCCATATCATATCCACCATCCCAAGAATCTGGACTTCTCCTGAGCAGAGGCTGTGTCTTTTGGTGCCCCAAGGGTTTCCCAGAAGACGTGATTCACTGCCGTGCGGTCGCGAAGCCACAAATTCATTTGCAAGGTGGTGATTCAAAGCAATAACAATACAAGAGATCTACAAGAACAACATGCAGGATCACCCAGTTTTTCAAAGTGCTATACACTGGAAATAATTAGGCCAAATGGCCAAAGGCATGATATATTCAACTTCTTTAACTACCCTTTTTGTCATTTGGCAGTCTTCCATCTGGGGGACCCGGGGACCCCAGAACTCGTACCGGCAGGGCAAAGTTCAGAGCAGCAAGAAGGACAAGAGTCGCAGCCTGAGGGATCAGCTGACGAAGCTTCCAAGATCAGCTGGTGTGCACTATAGATACATGCATACATTACCTGGTTGGTGGTTTAGAACATTTTTATTTTTCCATATATTGGGAATAATAATCCCAACGGACGAACTCATATTTTTCAGAGGGGTGGCTCAACCACCAACCAGTTACATCTATGTATCATTATGAATTCTATACATACATATATATATATATATATATATATATTTACAGCACATACACATCGACATGGTGTGTCTTTATGTCTGTCTGTGTGTGTGTCTAATAATATTATATGGGATAAGATCAAAAATTGAAGAAGTGAAGAGTAGTCTTCGAGAGGTATCTAATTTTTGAGCTGAGGCTTGGAACATGATAAGGCACTCGCCAAAAAGCAACAGCATGTTGCAACATCAATAACCTGAAGACGATAGGACCCTCAAACAAAGTAAGGATTTGTCACCACGTAATTAATAAATATTGCTCATCCCCCGTGTACAGTGTATTGTTATCTTATCGAAGGAAGTTTAGAAGTCAAACTTCCGACAATATGGACAGATGAAAAGCAGAGATGGGAAGAGTCAGAGAAGAGAAGAGAAGAAGAAAGAAGATCAAAAAAGAGAAAGTCTCAGAAGAAAGAAGATCCAGGTGCGCGAAAAGGTAGGAAAGTCGCGAAACACTGTGTTTTTCCAGCGATTTGTGGCCCCGGAGGGTCGAAAAGTAGGCTCGCTAAAGCGGCGGGTGCGGAGCCAGCTGGCCAGATGAGAGATGAAAAGTTGCACGCCGGTCTGGCGGGGAGCACATTTGCAAGTGAAAAAGCTAAAAGCACCTCACGTTCGGAGCACTTTTGGAAGTTGAGATGTTGAAAAAGTGCACGCTGTTGTGGTGCGAAGCACATTTCCAAGTCAAAATGTACAAAGCACACCAGCTTTGGAGAACTTTTGCAAGTTGAGATTCCGAGAAAGTGCACGCTGTTGTGGCGCGAAGCACATGTCGAAGTCAAAAGTGGAAAAAACTGAATGGTTCGGAGCACTTTTTGAAGTTGAGATGTCGGAAAAAGTGCACGCCGTTGTGGCGCGAAGCACATTTCGAACCAAAAGAAAACGAAACGTGAGGGTTTTGTAGCAGTTTCAACTACAACCGCTACACTACACTACACTCCACTACACTGCAACTACAACTACAACTACACTACACTAATTACATTACACTACACTACAACACACTACAACACACTACACTAACTACAACTACAACTACAACTACAACTACAACTACAACTACAACTACAACTACAACTACAACTACACTAACTACCCTAACTACACTACACTATACTGCACTCCACTTCACTACACTACACTACACGTCAATTACACTACACGCACTACAACTACAACTACAACTACATTACGCTGTTCTAGACTAGTTTCATTACACTAGCCTAATTACATTACACTATGCTACATTCCGCTACACTCCACTACGCTACACACGCTCAATGACACTACACTCCACTGCACTACACTTCACTACACTACTCTACACTAACTACAACTACAACTTCAACTACCACTACAATACATTACACTACACTACACCAATTACATTACACTACGCTACACCACACCACGCTACACTACACTAACCACAACTACAGCTACAGCTACAACTACGCTACTTTACACTACACTAGACTACGCTACACACACAACCCTACAATACATTACATTACACTACAGTCATTAGACCACCACAGACGCAACTGCAACTGCACTACACTAATTACACTACACCACAACTACAACTCCACCACACTACAAGTACAACTACAGCTTCACTACACCACACTACACCGCACCACACCACACCACACCACACTACAACACTACACTACACTACATTACGCTACACTAGACTAGACTAGATTACATTATAGCACCAGGTGACCGACCAGGTGACCACTGCAACCATTGTAATCATTCCAAAAAACGCAACTCCAACCACCTTTCAGTCCATCAGTGGATTCGCTCTGCCATCCGTGATTCACAAACAAGCTCTACTATAGGCTTCCTATTTTTGAAACTTCCGCCACCACCTTGTGCGGTACTACTGCTATAAGTAACAATGTGATACAATGTGTATAAATAGATAGATCGATAAATCGATCGATCGGTCGATGGATAGATAGATAGATAGGTAGGTATAAGGTAGATAGGTAGATAGATAGACAGATGGAAAGATTAGAGAGAGAGATAGATAGATAGATAGATAGATAGGTAGGTAGGTAGATAGATAGATAGATAGAAAGATGCAATGTTTGTGTGTACGTTTTTACATATAGATACATTGACATGGCCCCATAGATTCACACATTGGAAGCCTTGCTTTGTATCACCCTTTTTTTGAACCAGAAATGTGTCCTGTTTGGACGTGGATGGCCGAGCTGTGACACCAATTCTGACAGCTTTGAGGCCCCAAGAAGGTCTTGCTGAAGATGTCTGAGGCGGTTTTCCAACCTGGTCCATTTCCTTCAAGCCAAGGATTGTGGCGGCCAAACGATGGATGGATGGATCAATGGATGAATGGATGGATAAATGGATGGATAGGTAGGTAGTATATTGTTCCCTTCCCCGTCTTGGCAGGTTCCCGAGTCACTTGGCATGCAGCAAAAAAACTTGGGTCGGGTTGGGTGTGCTTTGGTTTCCCTTCATTTTGGTGTTCGATTTTTTCGCAGGTTTCAGAGCCTGTCACTGCCTAGCCAATTTTGTGTATTTTATTCAACATGAAACCATGACATTGCATGTGGCTGTCATGAGTTTCTTCAAACAATATTTAAAAAAATATATATCCCATTTTGGAGTCTACATTGACCTCTGTTGATAGGCCATCGATTCTCGGGTCCCCATAGGGTCCCTTGTGGCTTGACCCACTTTGCTGAGTCTGGACATGCCAGCTTATGTGGGCCGTGGGCTGGAACCAATTCAAGAGGCCTCAGAGCTGGGGCTCGGGGGTTAAAGATCACTCTGCCAAAAGCCAAAGGCAGAACGGGATTGGCATTGGTTGGGTAAAGATAATGTAAATTCCTCGTAATGTTTTTTTTTAACCCATTTTTGAATGGCGTCAAAAAATAGATTGTCAAGTTCATCGGTCAATGGGGTTCGTCAATGTTTTTCGCTATGTGGTAAATCCGTGGGCCATGGGTTTGAAATGGAATCGCATATCATTAGCCTGAGAGTGCAACAATTAAGCAGGAATGGTTTATTTATAATGGTTTCATGTCTTTTAGACAAATTCAGCCGCTCCAAAATGGTCAGTCCAAAATGGTCAGTCTAATGACTAAGAGCTGGGTGTTTTTGTCATTTTTTGTCGACATGACGGAGAACCTGGACTAATTACCTCACGTGCCGCACCTTGACGGCCAGTACGTGGATTGTTTGCTGTTGCCAGTACGACCTGCCCCATATCTACATTGTGTGTGATTTTCTAATGTTCATTGATGCATTCGGTCAGTTCAGGACGGGTGGAAAAATCCGACCCTAGAGAACCATTGATGTTAACTATTATGAACTGATTGTTTTGGGTGAAGTTAACAGCTCACATATCGATACATATCTGACATTAGCTGACTATAATGAAAGCGAACCAACTATACATCTTTGAGGCACCCAACTTGACAGGACATGGAGCACTTCGCAGTGATCTCTCCGCCTCCGGGATTGGACAAACGCGACGTGCCTTGGACAGAAAATGCGTCATTGTCGAAGCGGTGATGAGCATAGGACCATCATTGGACCATATGGGGATTTCCATAAATGGAGATACTCAATAGCTGGATGGTTTATGTCATGGAAAATCCCAATCTAAAATTGATGATTTAGGGGTACCCCTATTTTAGGAAACCTCCAATTAGAATTAATTAGATACAAACCTGCGGTGCCGTGCTATTTGATGATATGATATGAGTCTACCAGTAGGACCGCACAAGGCGGTGGCAGAAGTTTCACTCTCTCTCTCTGTCTGCCTCTCTCTCTCTCTGTTTCTCTCTCTTTCTACGCTCTCTCTATCAATCCATCCATCCATCCATCTATCCATCCGTCCATCCATCCGTTCATCTATCTATATCTACCTTTCTACCTATCTATCTCTCTACCTACCTACTTATCTCTCTGTTTGTCTGTTTGTCTGTCTGTCTGTCTGCCTGTCTGCCTGCCCTTTCCTATTTTATCCTGCCCTTTCCTATCGTATCTGCCTTATTTATCTTATCTATCTACTCTATCTAATCTATAGGTAAAATTGCGATTTTCACAGGTCCGGCGCAACGTTTTCGCACGAAATGAGGTTCGATCAACGAAAACTGAGGCAAAATGGTACTTTTTGTATGACAACATGGCATTGGCGATCATTGGCGGCCGACTGCTGACTCATGCGTTTTGATGTCCAAACGTGTCAGTAAAATTGCGATTTCGCAGCTTTGCGCGCAACCGTCTCGCACGAAATGATGTTCGAGTGTCAAAAACTGTGGTGAAATTGCGATTTTGGAGGTCGGCGCGCAATCTTTTCACACGAAATGGTGGTGGAGTGTAAAGAACTGAGGTGAAAATGCGATTTCGGAGGTTGGCGCGCAACCCTTTCGCACGAAATGGTGGTCGAGTGTCAAAAACTCGGGTGAAATTGCGATTTTGGAGCTCGGCGCGCAACATTTTCGCACGAAATGGTGGTCGAGGTGAAATTGCGATTTCGGAGGTTGGCGCGCAACCCTTTCGCACGAAATGGTGGTCGAGTGTCAAAAACTCGGGTGAAATTGCGATTTTGGAGCTCGGCGCGCAACATTTTCGCACGAAATGGTGGTCGAGGTGAAATTGCGATTTCGGAGGTTGGCGCGCAACCCTTTCGCACGAAATGGAGTGGTCGAGTGTCGGCGCGCAACTCGAGGTCAAAAACTTTTGGAGTTTCTGAGGTGAAATTGCGATTTCAGAGGTCGAAGCGCATTGCGTATTTGCGTTATACTTCCCCGGGCCTAGACCCATTTCTCAGCAACATGTTTGGTCACGAACTTCACCCCTTCGGATTTCCGAGGTGGCCACGACAACGATGACTTCGCTGTGAGTGTGTGTGTGGGGTGGGTGGGTGGGTGTGGGTGGCAGTGTGTCCTGGTGTCTGTCTGCGTGTCTGTTTGTGCGTCCCGTGTCTGTCTCTTTGTGTGCGTGTGTGTCTGTGCCTGTGTGTTTGTGTGTGCGTGTATGTGTCTTCCTCTTTGTGTTCTGTTTGTGTGTGTGTGCGTGTGGTGTCTGTCTGTGTACCGTGTGTGTGTGTGTGCGTCTGTGTCTGTATCTTTGTTTGTGTGTGTGTGTCTGTGTGTGTGTGTTTCTTTGCTGTCTGTCTCTGTCGGTCTCTCAAATTTTGTGTCTATCTTTGTCTGCTTCTGCTTAGAATCTGACATAGCATTTCTATCTCCTTTCTGCTGATCATCTGCATCATCTTCAATGAAGCTTTCACCTACAATGTCTTTGATACTATTTACAAGAGAGTAACATGCTCTTCTACGCTCTCGGGCCATCCGTCGTCTAGTCTTATCTATCTATCGATCGATCTACCTATCTATCTACCTATCTATCTATCTATCTATCTATCCATCTATCGATCTATCCATCTATCGATCTATCTATCTATCTATCTCTCTCTCTCTCTCTATCTAATTCGCTCCATCGATCTATGGCTTTATCTCTCTCGCTATCTATCTGAAAGGGAGCAAATATGCGAGACTTCCTTCGAAATTGGAAGTGTCAACGTCAAAAACGAAGCAATTCTGCGAGATGTCCTTTAAAAATGGAAAGTTGAGCACGGAGCTGACGGCCTCGTTCCAATGCGTTTTTGCAGTTTTTCAAGTCCATCTGTCCAAAGTCTAAAGACTTCTTAAGTATTGCGCCTGCCACGAAAAATTGATGCCAGGTCATGCGAAGTGCTGCACCTGTCACACAAAATCATCTTAGCAAACCTGAAGATCTCATGCTCCAAAATGCAACCCTCTTTCAAGAAATCAGCGCCTTAACCTCCTAACATCTCTGATGCACATGTCTCTTGTACTGCGCCTGCCACGCGACATGCAAGTTTGCAGATACTCGTCAAAAGTCCCACGCCTGCCATTGCTTTTGAATCTGCTACAAAACCCACACGTTCAGCTCTTTTTTGTAAAGGTGCAGAATCCATTGCGCCTGCCATGAAAAAAACGACGCTTGAACGTCTAAAAGTGGTCGCACGTGGTGTGTTTTTTCACATTTTGACTTTTCAATGTGCTTCGCACCACAACGCCGTGCACTTTTTCGACATCTCAACGTCCAAAAGTGGCCCGAGTCAATTTTTAACACGTTTGACTTCGAAATGTGTTTCGCGCATCTTCGCGCCACAACGGCGTGCACTTTACCGACATGACAATTTCCAAACGTGCTCCGAAGCTAAAGCGCTTTTAGCATTTTGACTTTGAAATGTGTTTCGGGCCAAAACCGCGAGCACCTTTTCAACATCTGTGATTCCAAAACTGCTCCGAACATGGTGTGTTTTGTACGTTTTGACTTCGACATGTGCTTCGTGCCCCAATGGCGTCCACTGTTTCGACATCTCAACTTCCAAAAGTGCTCCGATGCTGAGGTGCTTTGACCACGTTTACTTCCAAATCGCTTCGCCACAACGGCGCGATTCTTGATCTCTCATCTGACCAGATGTCTCCACACCCGCCGCTTTAGCGAGCCTATCTTTCGAGCCTCCGGGCCCACAAAACATTGAAAAACCACACTGTCTCGCGACTTTTCTACCTTTTGCGCATTTTCATTTTCTTTCCTCTGACTCTTTCTCTTCTGACTCTTTCTCTGCTCTCACCACTGTTGCTGCGCCTGTCCATAGATTGAAAGTTTGACTTCCAAATTTCTTTCGCTCATCCTATCGCCAACAATGCACGAAGACCACTTTTAGACTCTATTTTAGACAGATCGACATGGCAGTTTTGCCGGAGAGATTGCCTACTGTAGTGGTAAAAGGAGAAACACAGGCTGCGTCAAACATCTCGGGATCACAAGTCTTTGCGATCCACCGCACTAAACCCAAGCACCCCGCACCACCTGTTTTCATACATATTGTACATATAGTACAAGTATATCCCCGTGTTGATTTTCACTACTATGTTGTGACCTAGGTCCCGGAAATGTAACCAAAAATTGATAGTGACATGTCAGCAAACCATTTAATAGAGAATCACGATGTATCAATAAAAAGTCAAGTAAACATCACTAGACCCGTGATCACCATCTAGTAGAGAGGTCAAAATGTTAATCAAGTGATGTCAATTGGTATTTTTTTGCTGAAACCATTTAGTAGAGATTTCAAAAAATGCCAGAAACCGGCTAGTAGAGGTTATTTTTGAGGTTGCAAAGTAGGGTTTTTGAAACGGTCAAAATGAACGAGAAAAAGTGAAAAACAATTTTGTAGAGATTCCATTCCGTTGCCCCTGATAGCCATTTGGCCAATCAATGTCCATCCAGATGAACCAGATCAATCCAGATAATAGATGCAAAAAAAAAACAGGTTCTAGAATGTCAATGATTATCATAGATATTCCATGGTTGAAGTAGATCAACATGGTATACTGTGATATAATGAAAACAAGAGTTTACGAAAAACAGTGATGAAAAGGGATGAAAAATGTTGATTTGCATTGATTTGTTCAGTTGCCTTTATACGTGCTTCATATGCTTCTCTGTTAAATGGACTCCGTGCATTTCTCTATTAAATGTGTTCTCGGTTTTGGTCGACTCATGTTGGTCCCTCAACTTGTGGTCAAATGAGTAGCTCTACTAAATGGAACAGGGTGTTTGGTCGAGTCATGTTGGTCTCTTAAGATACTTCCAAATTTCATCCCAATTTTGCACTTCAGCTGAACCAAGGGCCACCATCTAGTAGAGAAATTCGACCATGCATGCACAACCATTTAGCAGAGTTTGAGGCTATGCAAACCGTTTATTCACTACAAAATGGTTTCACAGCCCCATGCTGAAATTCACAGGGTGATACAAGTATCATATAGTATCACATAGTGTATGTATGTGTACGTGATGTTGTGGTGTGGTATGGTCTGGTTTGTCCGTCTGTCTCTCTGTCCGGCCGTCCATTTGTTTGTCCTGCATGCATGCATGCATTCATGTATGTATGTGTTTGTGTTTTATGTGACGTGATGTCATTTTATGTGATATGATGTATATAATTTAATCTAATCCAATGTACTGTAATGTACTGTAGACATCAGAGTAGCCATTGCCATTTTCGCTGGATGTCACGTGGTGTTTCCCAAGGATGAGTTCTCCGACAGTTTGTGGAGCCGAACCTTGCCCAGATGAGAAGTTGCCTCAAGGTGTGAATTCCATGAGGCAAAGGCCGACTGTGTTTGCGCAATTCACTGCATTAGGTATGTTCAATTGGCAAAAGTGCTAGTTTTCCAATTTTTTTTTGCATTTGGGGTTGTTTCCGCCAAAGCAGCAAAAACACCTAAAATGTCTGCTCTTGCAGGCTGGTCGGGATCAGTACTTGTGAGTGTGTTCAAGACTGCATTTGTAAGTTTGAATTTTCCTGTGTATACATATACAGGATAGGGCCCATTGTCACTTAAATTTCTCCCTGGGCAGCCTCAACTGGGAATATGCAGCGAACTGGACACCAACTTGAATGAGCTGGTGTGACAAATCTAGCTACCAAGCGACAGGAAGTGTCATCACGTAGTGCTGATGCTTCAAAGATATGGGATGATATGGGTCTTCTGTGAAAATAGGCTACCCCATTCGATCTCATCCAGTTGATCATCACATGCCCTGTTTTTTCATATTGGTTCTATCTAAATGGCCATAGAAATTGGGGGCCCATTCCCCACCCCAAGGGGACCCTGGAAGTAGCCTGCGCTAAGGATCAACGACCGGTGGAAGTGGCAGCGCCTTTGAATCGCCAGACGAGGCGGTGATATGATGATCTCCCAGTACCCAACAGCCGCAAAATATGAAGCTACTATGAGACTTCATGGGATCTACGAATATATGTATACAATTGTATACACATACATGTATTATAATATATATATATATAACAATATATATATATATATGTATATGTATAACAATATATAACAATATATAACCAAGATGATGACTTGGTTTGTCTGAAAAATGAGAGATGGGAATTCATTTCGTTGCCATTGGAACATGGGAAACATGATTAAGCATGATTGACCAGTGGACCCTATGTTGGAGACATGTATGACTCTGAATTTACTTCCCTTGGCACTTGTGAATTTTTGGACATCTGAAATCGTAGGACGTGTGGAAAGTCTATATACTCTCTTGTTGTCTAGAAGCCAAGATATGGGCAACGCCTAAAGCCCGCAATGCTGTTCCGGCATGCAAACTCCTGAAGTGGTTGTTTCCTTTGCCATGTTGCAAAGACGCAGAGCCAGACATAGGAGTTTGAGTGGGAAGGATGGCTGAAGCAGTAAGATAATAAACAGCATCAGACTGTAAAGCACAATGTTCTGACGGAAAGCCATGTTGATATCGACAGCCTGTTGGTTCTTGTGTTTGTTTGGCCCAGAATGCCAGTTCACCGGTGTTTCTTGACGATGAAAAGGATGAAGAACCAACCAAATCGTTTGCTGATCAATTTGTCAGGGCCTTGGCTTCAAGGGTTTGCACAACCAGCATGTTGGAAGCGGATTGATTCGTTCTCCCATCCGTTTGTGGTTTTCCCATCGTTTGGCAAAGCTGGTAAAGCTTGGAATCGGTTGAAATCCAGGGCGCATGGCATAGTTGTGCCGGATGTTTGTGACAGGTCTTGCCAAGCCTGAACAATTGAACGATTTGAGAGGTACATTGAAGAGCATTCCAAAAGGGTTGGGACTGTGCAAGCTTTTCAAAGCAGTTGACGCCCATGGCAGCCGCCCATGGCAGATGTAGGTATGATAAGTGAAGGATAGTGAAGGTACATAGCCGACATAGCCGTTCAATAAATGCCCGCTATTGGCGCCCATTTGTACGCTCTGGGAATCGAACCTGGCAATCCCCCAGCAGGTTGGTCGACCAAAGCATCTAAGGCCATGTTGTCATCGTTGCAGCGGGAGCCTCACTGGTTGGAAGTGGCACAAAATACTCACTGAACCAAGTTTTTTTAAAGAGTTTGCAGAGACCCATTTTTTGAACACCAATCTCAAATAAATCCAATCAACTTTGTGTGTCTTGTGTTCTTTGCAAAGCTGTTCATTTTCTGTCATTTCTGTTATTCTTCCAAGGTACCAAGAGTCTGCCTATCACATGATTGCTGCCTCCTTGTTGCAATCCACAAAAGGGCCCCCGCAGGCTCAGCAGGACTGACGTGGGACTGACGTATGTGACATCACCCAGTGCATCCGCAATGAAAATATTTGTCATACGAGAAGACGGGTAGATATATGGAAACAATATGAAATGCATGCAACTGTATACGAAAACATTGGGCTGGCGGTCTTGGGATACTCTAAAGATCAGAGATATCCAGAGCACGTGTTGACCAACTGAACACGGTTTTTACCGCAAGCCAACTGTTTTTTCAGGAGTGCGCAACTACCTGGGCGTTCCTTGGCTTCAGATGGCTTCAGTGAATCTTCTTTTGAGTCAGCAACGATCGTTCGGGAGTTCCATGGAGTTCCTGGAGACAGCAAGGATCCCATGAAGATAGCCATGGAAATTAACCGAGGCAACCAGCTGTTCGCAACTTTTGCACCTGGGCTAAATGATCAGCTGGGAAGATTATAGGTGATTAGAGATGATTAGAGATGATTAGAGATGATTATAGATGATTAGAGATGATTAGAGATGATTAGAGATGATTAGAGATGATTATAGATGATTAGAGATGATTATAGATGATTAGAGATGATTAGAGATGATTAGAGATGATTATAGATGATTAGAGATGATTAGAGATGATTATAGATGATTAGAGATGATTATAGATGATTAGAGATGATTATAGATGGTTATAGATGGTTAGAGATGATTATAGATGGTTATAGATGGTTATATATAGATGATTACAGATGGGTTTATTATGGGTTCATTACCTTCCATGAAAAGTAGCTTGGTTGGGTAGGGCCTACATAGCCCGTGAAATTTCGGTCCTCCCCGAAGATATGGACATTTGACTGCCGGCAGGGTTATGTGAGTTATGTGTTTAGACCTTGTCGTGTTGACTGAGTCTAACCGTTAACCATAATATACAAATTCGAGAGTCTGTTCGAACCACTATCCGCATTCACCTATTATTATTCTACTGATAACAATTAGAGTACAAGTACCATCCTTTTGTGAAGGGCTATCCATAGACCTCATTGAGTAGGAGAAAAGATGAAATGTACTTCTTCGATATTTCGCATAGCGTGCATATGTGTGCATGATAGAATAGTTGCTACATTTCTGGGTCCATGCATACTCAGCGCCAGATAAAGGGGTGCTGTCAGTGCTGTCAATTCTCGATGCACCTGTGAGGCCCTTGGTGTGGCTGCAAGAGGGCTACCTACTACACATTTTGTTTGGGCACCAAGCAGAAAGGCTGGTGATGCAGCAAAAAGGCAGCAAAAATTGCATTCCCACCATTTGATTCAGGCGTTTACGGGCAAGGAATGTCTCACGAGGGGATGCTTTCAGAATCTTTCAGAGGTTTCTGCATAGTTCTTGCTACTTTGTCGGAGCCAATGAGGCCCCAACTGTGGCAACAAGCTCGATGAGTAGACGCCAGACGCTACCTACACACCGTTCAAACATGGTCCAACTTTATTGGACTAAGGAAGTTGGTGGGAGGGAGACAGTTGACAGTTGAGGGAAATGGCAGTACTTGTCACATGAATCACATGAAGCTGTCCAGTGTACATATTTAGGTGCGTGCCTGTCTTGACACATTGATGCGCGTTCACTAAGTTCACTAGGCTCCAAGTAGTAGGAGAGAGAGAGAGAGAGCGCGCGCGCGCGCCCTTTCTTCAAGCTGCACCCATTGACAACGCCATAGAACGCCTCCAAGAGCTCCACAGGACGAAAGAGCCACATGCGTTTTGTGTGAGCATCGGCGCGCTAAAGTGAATCACCTTGGCTTTGCCGAATCACCAGAGCTGCATGCGCCTCGTTTTTGCACCCAGCCTCAATAGCCTCAATCCTACAACCAGGAATATGATGGAATATGATGGAATATGATGAACATTTATGGAATATGATGATATATGATGAACATTGATGGAATATGATGAACATTTATGGAATATGCATTGATAGGCCTTTTTGATCCTTTTTGCACATGTTTGTTGCAGTTTCTACCAAGAATAGGGCAAACAAAAATATCTGAAAAGATAGGTGCACAAAGCGTAGTCTTTTCAAAGTCGAATTTCAACAAGGTTGAACATCATGTTAATTCAACTGTTTGGAGAACACGGCGCTGATATGTATATACACTGCAATGTTGAATTGCGTGGACAGGGAATGAGCTGAGAATCTGTTTGCGAAGCCATGAAGCCGTGCGTTGTTGACTTCCATGCGGATTGTGTACGTTACCAAAAGAACTGATTTGTTTTTGGTTGAAGGTAGTTTGAGCAGGGGAAAGATCTGGCTGGATTTGTTAACCATCATTAACCATCATTAACCATCATTTATGTTCCAATGAGTGGTTGGCCCAGTGGTTGGCGCTGTGAGATCAGCTCTTTGAGGTGCCAGTTCGTTGAGCGGTTGACTAACGGCATCTTGGCAGCAGCGAAAACACCGCTAAGCATATGCATAATGGGATGTTGCTTGTCCAAAGATGTCCAAAGAGCAGAAAATCCAAGAAATTCCAAGAAGTCCTGAGAAATCCTGTGCAACCGGGAGGAGTTTCAAGCATACCATAGCTATCTAACCTCCCAAAAGTTTCATACCAAACACCAAACCTCCCAAGAGTTTGACATTTTCGCAAGTGCCATTCCGTGCCATTGCCAGGTGTGACTTTGGATATTTGGATAGAAGGCAACTGATCTCAGGCCCTGCACAGTACTCGCTAGACATGATATGTTTTTGAATCAGTTCAGTGGGGATGTCCGGCGTGGTCACGTTCCAACGGCACGTACTACACGCGTGCTGGGCCACCATGCGAGTTGACCTGCGGAAAAGTTCACGGGCAAAGTTCAGACTGAAGATTTCATGTGTTGTGTTACAGCATAGGATTCTTCCGCCGTTGTTGGGCTGGTTTCCTTGGTCGAGACAACCAGCGGTCGCTCATGCTGGACGACACTAGGCTGCTTACGCCTTCGCTTTGCACCTCTGATGCATCTGCATGGAATTTGAAATGCAGGAGTTTGAATGTCGAATAGTCCGGTTCAGCATAGATCTTCTCGTAAAATTGTCCGGTTCAACCCAAATCTGAGATAATGCTCCCGAAGCAGTGCATCAGCTTGGAACAATGTCTCCGCAGTTCTCAGTGCTACTCATTGAAAGGAACATTCTGAGATGTTATTCAGTTGAACCTGATTTGACTGGTATTGCTTTGACTTGCTTTGACAATCCAAAGGAACCTCAAAAAGATTAGGGGTACAAAGCGAAGGTCCTGCGTCCACGAATAAGTGGTCTGCGTAAGCTGAGAGGTGTTGCATTCAAACATGTCGCCCTTTCGCATAGTGGCATCCTTTTGCAGCATTTTTGGAAGCAATACCTAGCAAAGCTTGCTGCAGCATGTCGTCTTTGGCAACCTGCAGAGTCAAGTTGAGCTGTGACTGCTGAGGGAAAGCAACCTGAGGGACTTTGCTAGGCTTTGGATAGGAACTGCAACATAAATTCCAGCGAAAGTGAATGCTGGATGCTCCACATTTTCGTTTGGACCCTACCCTAAAGATGCATGGAAGTACTGTGATTGTCCTACTTTCAGAGCTCATTGCGGCTTGTTTGATCAGATGCAAAAGCCGCAAATGGTTCGGGGATGTGTTTCGAGATCGTGACAAGAGCAGGATTAACTTTGAGTCTATGACCATATTGAAGATGTGTGGAAGAGTTGGAAGTGTTCCAACGGAGATCAACGGAGTAGTTTTCCATGACACTTCATCGAACCCTACTCATCAGTACTCCAACTTTTGTCTTCCAACTGGGTTTCGGTTGTTCATCCCCAAGTGGAAGAATCCCAGTTGACTTTCACAATTTTGAGCGCTGGCCCAACCACCACATCATCATCCAGTCACACTTTCCTAGCTTGCTTGTATTAATCTTGTATCATCTTGTATCGTTTTTTTCTGGTCTTGTATCGTCTTGTATCATCTTGTATAATCTTGTATCGTGTTGTATCATCTTGTATCGTCTTGTATCATTTTGCACTAATATTGTATCATTTCATACTAATCTTGTATCAAAGTGTATCGTCTTGTATCTTCTTGTATCGTCTTGTATCGTTTTGCACTAATCTTGTATCATTTTGTACTAATCTTGTATCTTCTTGTATCATCTTGTATCATCTTGTCTCTTCCTGTATCGTCTTGTCTTGTTTTGCACTAATATTGTATCGTTTTGTACTAAATTGTATCATCTTGTATCGTCGTGTATCGTTATGTATCGTTTTGTATCATCTTAGTATAATCCTGTATCTTCTTGTATCGTCTTGTATCATCTTGTATTGTTTTGTACTAATAGTGTATCATCTTGTATCGTCTTGTATCGTCTTGTATCGTCTTGTATCATCTTGTATCATCGTGTATCTTCTTGTATCTTCTTGTATCTTCTTGTATCGTCTTGTATCATCGTGTATCGTTTTGTATCATCTTGTATCGTCGTGTATCGTGTTGTATCATTTTGTATCGTCTCTTCTCGTCGTGTATTGTCTTGTATCGTCTTGTATCATCGTGTATCTTCTTGTATCATCTTGTATCTTTTTGTATCGTCTTGTATCGTCTTGTATCATATTGTATCATATTGTATGATGTTTTATCATCGTGTATCGTCTTGTATTGTATCGTTATGTTTCGTCTTGTTTCATCTTGTATCGTCTTGTATCGACTTGTATCATGTTGTATCATCTTGTTCTGTCTTGTATCATTCCTCCTGTATTGTCTTGTATCATCTTGTATCATCTGTTATCGTATTGTATCATTTTGCATCATATTGTATTGTTTTGTATCTCCTCATATCTTGTTGTATCTTGTTGTATCTTCTTGTATCGTCTTGTATTGTATGTTATCATCTTGTATCGTATTGTATCATCTTGTATTGTTTTGTATCGTCTTGTACCGTACATTGTGTCGTCTCTTGTATTATCTTGTATTTTCTTGTATCGTCTTGTATCATCTTATATCATCTTGTACCGTCTTGTATCGTCTTTTACCGTCTTGTATCGTCTTGCATCGTCTTGTATCGTCTTGTATTGTCTTGTATCATCTTGTTATTGTCTTGTATCACCTTGTATCGTCTTGTATCGTCTTGTATCGTCTTGTATCCAAGATCTTCAGGGAGCCATAGCATGCTGTTCACATCATGTGTAGACCAAAGCTGGCAGAGTTCTCTCAGACAACTGTGCCTCAGCACAAGTCATGCTGGCGATTCCGCAGCTTCATTTTGATTCAACTAATTCGATTGGTGATGCGTTCAGAGCCTGGCCAGACGCCGCAGGAGCACCGCTACCGGGTGTCCTGTGCGATGAGCATTGCCAAAGCATGGAGTGATCGACCAGGAACAGCTGAACCATTCAGATCAGTCAGCATAGCTGAACTGGACATGTTCCTCTTCACATTGACATATTAAGATACGTATGTATGTATATATGTATATTATATGTATATATATATATTCATGACATATTGACATGCAACGCCTGGTTAACCAGATTTTTTTTCCTTGTAGCTAGAAATAATTTGGCATAGCCGGGAGGCTGTGTCTATCAAAAACTGTTGGTGTTGGCAACTCCAGTGGTAAAGATAGGAGGGTAGAAGTCTACACCATGGAGTATGGAATTCGTAAAGTCCACCCATGATGTAGATTTCTTCAGTGGAAACCATGCTTTGGAACAAAGTAGTGACCAGATATCCAAATGTCCAAAAAACAGTCTAGTCCACAACGGGAGACCCAGCCAAACAATTGGTTCATAGAATATGGCTTTGCAATCTACGGGCATGGACAGAGACAAACCTCCCGCACTGGTCAGTGGTAACCTGTTTGGAACTTCCATTTTGATACCAACTTATACCCCACAACTTAACTTCAGAGAAACAAGCTCAGCTTTTGACCTGTTCCTTACAAAGCCCGCAGCTGTTCATACAGAGCAGTCAGTCCGCTCGCTTCCACTCTCTGAGAGTTTCTCAGGTTTGTTTGCAATGCCGCTTCTCACAAGTGCAAGCCCAAATTGCAGCAGGCAATCCACAAAGGCCAATTGCACCGGTGCATTTGCAAGGATCAAGATTCCAAAGGTACAACTGTTATCAACTGTTTACAGTGATTTGAGATGATTTGAGATTTGAGAAGGAATCAATTTTGCCGTTTTTGGTGAAAGGCTGGACGGAATTGACATGGATCAACCATGGCCATCCATGGCCAACTACACGTGGTGTGACGCAGTTTGGGCGCGTTCACAACTTGATGAGCGGCGGGCGCATTTCAAAGTATGAGCTGGGCAAGTGCTGTAAATGATTCCGCTGATGAATTTTGCAGAATGGAGGTTGAACAATACGGTACACATCAGGTCAAAATGGTCCAGATTCTGGGCAGACCTCATTTTTGGTCCATACAAGAACCAGCGATGGCAACTATGCAAGCAAGCGCACCTATTTTAATGTGCCGGATAATTTGGACGTCAAGAAACACCTGATCCTTTGAAATACGTTTGGCAAGTCACTTACGAGCCTATGTACCCAAATGTATGGAATTCCACGGCATGTCAAAGCTAGTGTCTCGGCAGGAATCTGCCTCAAAAACTCCTTCAAGCATAATTAATCAGACGTTCATGCATTTCACCCAATTTAGGGTAAGATGTGGACAAAACACAAACATTAAGTTTCCTGATTCCCTTCTCAAGCGTGTGATAGCACTTGTTGATCGTTTGGATATCGTTTACCGAGGAAACACCATGGCTATCCCCAGTCTCTACCCGCCATGTCGCAAGCTCTTTGAGGAAACCAAAGATTTTCAATGGGTGTGTCTAAAACTGAGGATATCCCCAAAGACGTGAGCTTTTTTTGGGAACGTGACAACCAGGTAAGATCATGGTCAACCAAATCAGATTTTGGGGTACCAAAAAAAAATCAGCCCCGGAAAGGGGCTGCTGCAGCATGTTCCTAACTTGCCCAGATGTTTGACGAGGAGGGCTAAGAAAGTTCTGGACATGCAGATCATGCAGAAGTTTGTGGTAGCATTTGGCATAGTCGAACAGTCGAATGAAGTTCATTGCTTTCCACAGCACCAAAGTTCTGAATCTGCAATTCTAATGTTTTGACTTGTTTTGGGATTCGTTGTCCACCCTTTGTTTGCACACTCAATTTCACAAAGAACCTCTGCAAGGGAACATTTGCGGGTAACCTCAAGAAACATCTTACAAGCTTGGGCCCTAGGGCTTTTTGCTGAATTGAAGCATCTGAACGACCCAGTGCTTGGTCTACCACAATGACTGCACTCTGCTCTGCCTATCTCTTCGTCGCCAGGGTCAGAGGTACACTGGGTCACTGGGATCTTGCTTGTAACATCCTGCAATCCTTCAAAATGAGATGACAGAATCTTCGACCTGTTTTTCAGTGTTTTTCAAAGTTCAATGATGGTCAATGTGTATGGAACTGGTGTTGCTTGCAGTTGCAGTAAGACAATCTTGCAAGAGCTGGGACCAAAAGCCAATGTATTCTGGTCGCTTCGCGACAACAACCGCCCGCGCCGGAGTGTTAGCTCCAGAGTTCCAATAAAACTATGTTCTATGTTGATCTATATTGGGCCTTTGTAGGGCTCATGCTGGGCAAACGGGCAAATGTTGGGCCCATGTTGAGTTTCCATGTTGAGCCCAAGTTTGGCAACTTAGCCGATTTCTTAGCCCCTTTAAGAAAACCTGGAAAAACACTGGATTCTAGAGCAGTAAAGGGCTTCCCCCAAGCTAAAGCTCAATAGCTATTGCAAGTGCCTCCAGCTCACGCATGCACAAAAAAAACGCCTCGCCACCTTCGGTGCAGGCGGATTTGCGCTGTTGCGCGAAATTGATGTCACGTGGTGTCTTTGTCTTTTTACATCTAGTCCCAACATTTGTAACCAAACCTTTAACCAAACCTTTTTTTTGGTGTTTTTAGTGCTTTGCCCAAACATCATAAACATCCCTGGCTTGATCCACGAAGCGGCTCTGATGAGAAGAGTGGGCTTGTGAAAATTTCTAAAGTTCCTGTTTGAAGCGGAGATGTGGTACAGCTGCGGGGCACAGCCGTCGCGTTTTTTTAAAGCTGTGGGTGGCCGGCACATGACCCTGCCAATGCCCGTGAGCTTCGCGAAGCAGAGAAGGTTGGTTATGTTACTTAGTTACTTAAAGTATCTTGAAGCTACTTCTGTTTAACTAATATCAGTTCAAATTTCAGCTAATGCTGCGTAATCAGAGATGGCCTGAAGCACGAAACCAAGGCACAGAGGAGGACACCCGTGAGTAATTTTGCAACTGTCACTGTCCACAGCCAGAGATTGCATAAAGTCCACAGCAAAAGTATTTAAAAAAGGATAAGTTAATCTTCATCCAGAGATCAGAATCCAGGGATGATTCCAGTGCTGTCCGCATGAGAACAAAAAATTGGCAGGAGCATGTGTGTACTAGGTTAATCTAGCTTACAGATGAATACAGTAGATTGATTGAAAACAATTCTCACAGCCTTCTGGTCCTTGACGGATTTCGGAAATCTATGCATGTGCCCTGCAGAGACTTTTCGAGTGTATTCCAACGCCTGAGAAATCAGTTACCAAAGATGCCTTCTTGCAAAAAAGTGCCAACCAACCAATTGTGTGATTGGGTCTTTGTCGTTGAGTTGTGGTGGATTGTTTGAGGGACCAACTACAATCAACTACATACATCACTGAGTCGCTTGCGTCTCCCAGTAGATTTCACAAGGCGATGTGCGGGGTGATTTATTTCTGCTGTTCTGCTGCCAATTTTTGGCGATGTCAAAGAGTCCAAGGTGGGGGAAAATCCAAAGAGTCACCAACATCTTCTGGTTGGTGGTTTGGAACATGAATGGATTCTGACTTTCCATATATTGGGATTAATGGATTATAGTGGTTTAATGGATTTTAATGGATTTTAATGGATTTTTCCATATCTTGGGAATTTCATCATCCCAACTGACGTTCACTCCATCATTTTTCAGAGGGATAGGCCAACCACCAACCAGTCTTTGCCCCTCTAAGGCGTCATTTGGCAAGTGGCTTTGAGGCTGTGAAGGCTGAGGCCCCTCAATGGCTCTGTGTGGTGGGTCCCGGTGACATCTTTGGGGACTGAAAAATGTAGGTAGAATACGGACATTCAAAGTCTCAGGGACTTTTTTCTCAAATCTTGGAACACGGGAGAATTAGCCAAAGATGTTTTGACATATTTGAGAAGTGCTGTCAGAAGAAACAAGTTCCCACTGTTAATCTATACATAACTATCTCAAGAGGTCAAGTTCATTGTGGATCCAACTCGACAGTGCTAAAACATGTAGGCCATTTCATGTGAATCATAGTTGGGACACGAGGTTGGGCACCCAATGGAACTGCAGCACACCGCTGTACCGTTGTGTTGCTGTGCCGGTTGCTTTGACTTCATCGGTGTGGGGGCATCCATCTACAGAAGCACTGTTATAATCCTATATAAATTGATGTGCTTGAGGTGTTATGATGAGATGATATGAGATGTAACTTGATGTTATGTGATTTCAGGTCATGTCACGTTGTGTTATTTTGTGTTATTAGTACTTATTATTTAAATAATGTATGTATACAATATGTGTATATATATAAGATATTATATATATACATATGATAAGCGTGTATATATACAATATACGCGCGCATGAGATGCATGCCTGAGGTTTCGCGCCAGGCCATGACCAGTTGCTCACGTTGCGGGCATAGCTTTGAAGCCGATTCGCTTGGGGCCTCAACCTGGATGGGGACGATGATCGAAGGGGACGATGATTTCCAGTACCCTGTGGGTTTCCATAATCTTTTCATAGAAATGATGTATTTGATCTTGTCACTTGTTATATCTTGTTCTCCAAAAAGCTGGTACCACTGGTACCCCAAAATCCAGAAACTGGTTTAGCCCAGAGTTTTTCCAGTTGGGTTTCCCAGACTTCAGTGAATTGGGCACAGCCTTAATTCATCTTCCCAAGATTTGCGGTACAGGACTGGGTTTGCACAGTGTCCCATGTACGTTCCGGAGTCACCTCCAGCACCTTGGTGCTAACTGAGGCGAGTGTGCCGGATGTGTGGGCAGAAGCGCGGTGAAGTGTGAGCCCCAAGTGTGAAGGGATGTGAAGGCTTTTCCCAAATGCGTAGCGAAGGGTTCTTGTTTTCTTGGTTGCGTGTCGCAGTGCTCCAATTGCATCTTGTGTCTATAGAAATTGCATGAAATTAGACTTCTAACTTACAAAACGTGAGGTTTTGAAGTTGCGGAAGTGCATTTCATGTGGGAGACATGGGACTTCGTGGCACGCGTGAAGTGTTGTGCGCTCTAAATTGCGTCGCTCGCCGTGTCTCTGGGATGTGCCGCAAAACGTCACGTTGTGAAGTTGCAAACGTGCATTTCGTGCAGCAAGCGTGGGACTTCATGGCAATCAGGATAAGAGTGTGGAGTGTGAAGTGTGGAGTGGAGAGTGGAGAGTGGAGAGTGTGAAGTGTGAAGTCTGGAGTGTGAAGTGTGAAGTGTGGAGTGGAGTGGAGAGGAGAGTGGAGAGTGCGGAGTGTGGAGTGTGGAGTCTGAAGTCTGAAGTCTGAAGTCCGGTATGTGAAGTGTGGAGTGTGAAGTGCGGAGTGTGGAGTGTGGAGTGAAAGTTCTTGAAGATATAAAGACAGTACTGATGGTTCTTGAAGATCTGCAATTCGTACCGGGCCTTCCTTTTTTCGAGGTCATTCCAACTCCTCTCCGCAATGCTTGCAGCACTCCGATGGCTTGTGATGATACACCGGCAGCGGGAGTGTTCCGCTGCCCAGTGCAATGGTCACGAAAACTCTTGCAGCCAGAGAGAAGTTGTCGATGCAAGCTCAGCCTCCATGGACCTTGAAATTCATGTTTTGTTTCTTTGTTGCCATGTGTGGGCTGAGAATTCAATTGGAGATTCACAGCTTCACGGATTTCTTGGTGCAGCTGGGGTAAGGTCATGCTGTAGAGTCAAAACATTTCTGAGGCGTTCAGAGTTTTGCCGAACAGCCCCACCAAGGCTGGCTGAATTTGAGTAGGTTTTGGGTTGTTCTGGGAAATGTGTCCGTAATTCTTCTATTCTAGATTCTAGTCTAGTTTTAGCAGGGCTTACCACGACAGGAATCTGAAGATGCGGAAAGGCAATGAAGATGATTACTGTACTTGGTTGTATTATGTTGTATTGCATTTTTGAACTTCTAGATGCAAAATAGGAATTTTGCAGTCTACTCAAACATTTCAGCTGCAGAAAAGAGATCTCCAATTTGTTGATGATTATCATACGTCCAAGTTTGCAAGCGCTGAGGTCAGAGGTCCCCGTCAAGGAAAAGATGCCCCGGAAAGACACCTTTAAATATAAAGCCGATGACATAGACATACTGTAGCATGGTTAATTTCAAAACAACCCTCACAGTCATGATCAGCATAAACGGGAAGATGTCTAGAATTGTCTAGATATGTGCCCCACTACTTTGGTAAAATAGTAGCAACCGTGATTTTTGACAGAAATACTGGGCCACCGCAAATACCTTCTATAGTATCGCAAATCACAAGCAAAGTCTGCTGTCATTGTAGCATGAGCTGCGCGTTTGCGGTCACGGAAAATGAAAACGCTGTGTAGAATCGACTGTCTGTGGGAACTTGTTGCTGATTGTTATTGTTTCTGTTGTTTTTTAAAGGGAAATAACATGTTCTAGACATCCATGCTAAGAGCATGTCTGGTCTTCGCCTGAGTGCTTTTTCATGGAGCTTGCACATTGCTTGTAGGTTCAGTCGCCCCAAGATGTGGTGCCGGACACTGAGATCTCAACGCAAGTTGCTGTAGAATAGGACAAGAAAGCGGACATCCATGTCGCTATATGATCAGTTTGCGCATTTTGTGTTCAAGAAAAACTTCAAATCGTCGCATTGATTCGATTGAATCTTGTTCGTTTTGGAACGACTGAATACGCCTTGAAAGAGATTCCGAGCTTTCCCGAACCGTGTGAAGTCCACCAAGACTAAAACCACCATCGCTTGTGTTCTTCCATTAATCGTTGTTCCATGATAGTCCAGTTGGATAGAAGCAAAGCATCAACCAGATTTCAACAACAATTGAAAGTGCTTCAGAAGGACGTTAAACAGTTGTTGCCTTTCATGATCTTCAAAAGAGGGTTCCGGTTGAGTTCATTTGAATTCTAAGGAGCTCCAACAATCTCTGTGAAGTGAACTGCCTTTGATATGCCTTGCTGCTATCAACGATTGCTGCCATTTCAAGTCCGATAATCTAGTCATCAGCATCCTGTCATATGCTGTCGACATTGGCACAAAGATGCACGTGTGTATTATATATAATTAATTATAATTATGTATATATATATATACCCTCTGGTAATGATTAACATAGCTATTGAAAATGACCATAGAAATAGTGGATTTTCCCATTGAAAATGGTGATTTTCCATTGCTATGTTAGTTTACCAGAGGGTATATGTAATGTGTATATATATATATGCACAGAGGAAATGATCGAATTGACATGTATTCGTTTTCAGCGACAAACACATGTTGAACTGAAGTTGTTCCACGTTGTTCCACGTTCATTAGCTTTGTGTACAAACTCTTCATGTGCGAAAGCTCCGCCAAATTCAGTTTTTGGTAGCGAGAGGGATGGCCTGTGAACATTCCGCAGGGGAACAATCATCAATTGATCCGGGAAAGCCGTATGGGCTAGGTATTAAGTATGGGTCCTGAATGATGTTGGTAAGCATGCAGTGACCTGATTGTTGATTTTGCCTTTTCTGGGGGTGCAGCAGGTTCATCGAGCTGGGCAAGATTACAGCATCGAAAGAACACCATAATCTATGTCACACAAGAGTAGTCACACTGGAACAGCATCTAGAGAATCTAGAGCGAGATGAATAAAGGGCCGGTGATACTCCAGCGTGCATGATATGGAACCTCGCGTATAGTTACACACGAAGCATTCAAAATCAAGCAAGCCTCCCAATGGTTATTTTGTAAGTCTGTTTTTGTTGAGGCTTCTTTGGAAGTCCTCAAAGTATTTTGGCTTCTCTGAAAGGAAAATCTGCATTACTAAGAGGATGTGCTTATAAATGAGGATCCTATTAAAAAAAGCGAACCGAACAGAACATGTTGTTCTGATGATGATGATGATGAGGAGGAGGAGGAGGAGGACGCGGATGCGAATACAGATCAGCATGAGGATGCCGATGGTGATAAGGATGAGGAGGATGATGATGATGAGAATGATGATTATTATTATTATGATGATGATGAGGAGGAGGAGGAGGGTGAGGAGGAGAAGGAGGAGGATGACAATGAGCGCTGGAGGAGGATGCGGATGCGGATGACAATGAGGATGACGATGAGGATGCGGATGTCGATGAGGATGCGGATGTCGATGAGGATGAGGATGGGAATGTTGATGATGATGATGATGAAGATGATGATGATGATGATGATGATGATGAGGAGGAGGAGGATGAGGAGGAGGATGAGGAGGAGGATGCGGATGACGATGAGGATGAGGATGACGATGAGGATGAGGATGAAGAGGAGGAGGAGGAGGAGGAGGAGGAGTAGGATGCGAATGCGGATGAGGATGATGATGATGATGATGAGGAGGAGGATGATGATGATGATGAAGATGATGATGACGATGAAGATGAAGATGATGATGATGATGATGATGATGATGATGAGGATGATGAGGATGAGGATGAGGATGAGGATGAGGAGGAGGAGGAGGAGGCGGAGGAGGAGGAGGATGCGGGTGCTGATGACGATGAGGGTGAGGAGGAGGAGGAGGAGGGGAGGCAGGCAGAGGAGGACCAACCAACCAACCAAACGCTGCATACGGACGGCAAGCGCCCAAGCAGGGCAACTGCCGAAGCAGTGAGTCGCTTCCCCATGCACTCCCCTGCACAAGCACACAGACGCTTACGCTGCCCCTAAAAGACACAATTTTACCCCCATAGGCTGGCACAAGAGAAGGGGACACAATCTGATCGTGCGCATACATGTTTGTGAAGCAGGCCATGTGGGATTGTGGAATGGGTCTGGGTCATCCAGTTGGGTAGGGATGCCCATGTCGATTTGAAAGCTCCGATACGTTGATCGAGGGCAGCCTGAGATAGACAGGTCCCACTCCCCAGGATTTCATGATTCGGGTGCCGCGGCCCTGCAGGGCCCTGCTACATTGTTAAGCCAACTGGACATGTTGATACATTCTGGATATATCATTTTGGTGTCATGCCAGTCTCGACGCCTTGAAGATGTTGGAACACTAAAGTCACTAAAGTTTCTGGTTGGCCCCTTGGGCTCAACTTACACTAATCGAATGAAAAGAAAACATACAGCAGTTCGCATTCACTTACCTTGCCCAGGCTGGGGTTCTTTATTGATTCATGTTGGTTCTCAAGACGACGTGGGAATGCTGTGCATGAACTGTGGGGAAGCAGCTCTGCAGAAAAAGTGCACATCTTCGTGCGGATTGCTGGTTGCCATCATTGTTTCCGAAAAACATGGGGTTGCTCCGGATGTCGGGGCAGAATTGTCAAAATCTTAGTATGAAAGGGAGGCAGCAAGCAGCATCGCAAGGCATCACAACAAGTGCATTTTGTTTGGCCGCCACTGGAGCATTTTCTTGGCCTGAAAGTGCGTGGTCTAATGTAAGTGACATGTATATATATATACACACACATGCAGATTCATCAGCTCCAACATCACCCTTATTGTTGGCTAGAATGGAATACGTTCCAGCGTTTCCAAAGGTCAATGTTTTGTGTTGTGGCAAGTTTGAAAAAGTCTCGCTGCAAATTAGTCACACTAAGTCACAAGGCTCTGCAGACGGCACGTGCTTCGCAAGCAACCACACTGCCTCTCACACAGGGGCTGTTTTGACAGGAGACTCTGTGACTTCATTGCTAGAAAGTTGCCAACTGTGCGCACTCTGCGCCATGGCATACTTGGCAAATTCCCTTTTCGTGAGAAACCTGAGCCCCCAGGCCCTTCGGCAGGGACTGTCATGGACTGTTGTTCTTTTGAGGTGTTGCAGGTCCGGCATTCCAAGCATAAGCTTCACAGCATTTGGAGCACAGGATTGACGCGTAGATTCTCTTGCTTTGGTCAGGTCAGCGAGACCATTGTTCGGGAGGCGGGACATGTGGATGGCGAAATATGCAGAGACATGGGTCAATGCCTATGGGACAATTGGAATTGACTCTGTACACCAGGGCTTTGGATGGTTTTGGTCCATGAATGGTTTGTACTAAAGAATTGTATATTGTTCATCCACCCAAAGCAAGCTGTACTATATTCTGACATAGCACACGCTCATGAGGGTCAGGGACTCCGGGTGTTGCCTTGCCAGCAGTTTTGATGGAGCCTCCATAGTTTAAATCTGCAAGCCAATTCTATGCCCCTTCTCATTGACACACCAGTCTCATGATCCTGGAGGTTGTCCTTTCGTGCCATAAATATTATATATATACATACGTAACCGTAGGTTTTTGGATGGTTTTGATGTACGCAGACCCGAGGCATCCGATAATATGCATGTATATTTATATTATTATTATATATTATTATTATTATTATTATATATTATATAAATGTATCGTTGGTAAAAAGGATGCGTTCAATCAAAAAGGCTCCTTCGTCAATGGTCCATCTCCCTGAGGTTTTCTCAAGCTGCGATGAGATCGTGAAAGTGATCTTCAAGTCCGACGGCTTAGAAAGACAGTTGCAAATTCATCACGCCAAAAGCAGTCTTTCTGCATCACATTCCATCACCAGTCGAGTTTCTAATAATTTAGTAGATTCTAATAGATTCTTTAAAAAAAACTACAGTCATAGATTCTAATAGGTTCTAATAGATTCCAGCGACTCTGTCTCGCTGCCAGCCGACGACGAGTTTCTTGCACCAAGGCCATACCCCAACAATGAAACGCAATTCTTTGCGCAGATTGATTTCAAGACCGAAGCTGCAACGTCGCGTGATATCATATATATATATATGTGTATGCATATATATATATATATACACATTGTATATATATACATATGTATAAATATATATATATATATATGTATTGTTCATGCATTGAATCTTGATGTGCTTGTATAGTTTTGACCTGGGCAAGGGCCATGAAATGAGGCAACTCTTGTGATGGGTCGAATATAAAACTGCAATGCTCCTTTATGTTTAGCTCCTGAGGAGTTGACCAGAACAGCCCCAAGATCCGGCTTTGGGATTCTACACCCATCTAAAGTAGCCCACCCTTCGGACCTGTTACCATTCATTTGAAACATCAATGTGAATTCTGCACCCCGCATGCTATGATAATGATATGAGCATGAGCAGCTCACAGCCTCACCGGCCCTCACCACCAGTGATTCTTCTTTGTCTGTGTGAGGACTTCAGCTGGTGTCTCTGAAGGCTCTAAACTGAGCGGCACCAAGATCTTAGGCCAGAACTTGGCGGCCGATAGTTGAATTTGCAGAAGGTCGTTACAATATGGGACAGAATGTTACAATCCCAAATCGTTTTTTTCAGAAAAATGTTGAACGGGAAAAGGCACTATGTGGAGTAAAAACCCATGGGTTTCCTGTGGATCTTCGCTTGAAGGAATCCAGGGCAAGTGCCTCATTAGAATTGCGTGGGCTTCAGTCAGGCTAGGGAGTCCTGGTTCACAGCTGGTTTGGATGCGACTGCTGCGAGGTGTCGCATGCATGTGTGGGGTTATCGACCCTATTCGGCAGGCCTGGCAAGTCAAGGATGACAACCTTGACTCTTGCAGAATGTGACAAGGTGTTCCAAAAAATGCACTATCACTCAAATGGCTAGAAGGGATGCTGATCGAACATCCGGGGCGAATAGTTCCATCGCTTTTTCAGTGAAAGAAACGGGAATTGTTCATGGCCAGAAGGAAGCATGATGCAATGATGGACCCATCCATGGATGGTTCTGTTGCTCCAAAGATATCCAAAGATTATGTTAAACTATCCATCCCCGGGTCCAACCCCCATTGGTTGGTCGATGTCGGTTGAATGTTCACGGTTTTTCAATGTTATCGGCACTGTATTATACTATTCAGTGCCATGTCCTGAAGCGCAGGCTGAACAGAATCGTCAGGCAACCGTGGCTTCGGCTACAGCTGCGCATGAGGGCCTAGCGGGCCTAGCGCTTCTGTCAAAGTCATTCAAAGTCAATATACCCCCAAAATCATCCCAAAATCCCCAAACTGGAATGTAGAGAATTGGCACCGTGGGTCTCAAATTTTGACATTGCTCTCGCAGAATCTCGCAGAGTTTGCTGTCAGCCATCTTCTTTGAGACCCGCTGCAGGTTGTTGATACTGTACCCTTCATTACCCTTCCATTTCTTGTCGTCAAATTTCTTGATAGACAAGATTTGGTGTGCATTGGTGAATTTGCAAACGAATTCGGGCATCGTCAAAAGCCCTTTTAGGCCTACTGAAGAAGAAACTGCGGCCGAAGAGTTCGAAATGCAGGTCTCGCTCTCAGCTACACTGATGATTCCGTCAGTAAAGGGGGCAGGGCTACTGTACCTTCCTTCCAGCTAGATAGATTAAACATGTCAGAAATTTTGCTGACAGATGCTACAGGCATCATGTTTGTCCTCAAGATCCACTCCTTAGTGGACCGATCGCCCACTCTTCGTTGAGGAATCACCCATCATCTCATCATCCGTTAATTGATCAACCATCGGTGATATATCTCCTGGCTTATAGCCCCACCAATCTCAGTAATCAGGGAATCAGGGGCTATATCGCCCAATCAGTATCCATTATTGTCAGATCTATCACTCAACATGAGTTGATGTATCGACCATGGTTTGTAGATTTGTGCAATATCGGAATGTGTCAACACCTATTGTACCTCTAGGGAGAATCAACATCCATTTTGAAGCTATTTTGTGGTTGACCAAGGTACTAGATGGTACTAGGCTGTTGAGTTTTGATCCATACCATAACCATATATCACTGTTATATTCCCATGTTATATCACCCATTATCCTCTGGTAAACGTTTACATAACTATGGAAAATCACTATTTTTAATGGGAAAATCAACTATTTCGACTGGGCCATTTCCAGTTCGCAAACTGTTAGTTTACCAGAGGGTACTAAAAAGTGGTTCATAACCATAGATACTACAGTTATAACTGATAGTTATTGATATAGTGAACATCAGTTACTGATAGTTAATAACAACTGATATGGTCACTGATAGTTATACTGATAGTTTCATAGCTATTTACCAGGGATAATTCACTGATAGCCATTTATAAATGGGAGATACCCATGGGAAGCTTCGATCGCTGTCCCGAACTCGGAGGCCGAACACGTTCGCAAGGCGAAGGAGGCTGCAGAGGTGACACTGGGCCATTGGATGGGCGGCTTGGAGTAACCTACAACCTGGAGTATATGTACAACATTATATGCTTTGTGTGTATATTATATATATTATATATATATTATATTATATATAATATTATATATATATACACCTTGGCTATATATATTATATATATATATACATATGTACATATGTGTGATGATTTAGTTATCTAGTTATTTATTGACATATATATATATACACATACGTTTTTGTTATATATGATACTTAGACCATTTGAATAAGTTGATGTTTGGCTTGTTATGTGCAGTTAATGATGCTTGATTATTTTTTGCCAGATGTTTACCTGCAGAGCCGCTACAGACTACAGTAATGGCTAATGGTGTCTAATGGTGATATCTAAACAATCAAGATTTGCAAGTCTCAAGGGTGGCCGTGCCGCAGAGCATTAAATAACTGCACTTCATTTGAAGGAGCTTCGACTTCGGACGTGCCACATTGCTGGCTTGGCAGAAGACACCAAAGAGGAGTCCATCAGGCAGAGAGTTGGTATGGCGACACGAAATGTGGTACCAATTGGTCCAAGAATGGCTGATCATTTTGAGTATTCAACCATCCACTTGGGGGGGGTCAATGGCTTTGACCCATACACGGTGAGGAAGGGATGATTCACTGCATTTCTGCAAGAAGCAGAGAGTTGATCTAAGAGACGATGTGATGGTGTTGCTTGATGGCATCCCTTTTAGATATTCTTGTTCGTTGAATAGGTATCATGAAGTCGCTGACTTTGGTTGGTCGGCAGGCAGCTGTGCCAGACCTTTGGCGAAGTCGAGACGCTAAGGCATTGGGAAATTCTGTGGGACCTAACATGGTCTAATCGTGTATTAAAGATGATCTCTGTTAATCAATGTATGCATATGTATTAATCCGTATTTAATTTATATATGCATATGTATAATTATGTACATTATACATATATATATATACACATCACGAAAGCTAGCTTCTGCTAACTGAAGTCCCTCTTGCTTTAGCAAGGTATTGGGGGGCTCGAATCTCCAATTGTGTGAACTTTCTCAGTCAACTACCGCCCACAAGCAGTTTGACCGTGGCTCAATCACCCCCATGGACACCGTCGGCTTGTCGCCACCCTACCTCTCATCCTCAACTTTGGTTTTGCACTGAGTTACTTTTTCCCGCGCTTCCAAAGGTCCACTCCGATGCCGAAAGTGGACCTTTGAATCTTCTCCAAGCACTGGTCATCATGTTGGCTACGCTGAATTTCCTCATCCTGGTCATGCACCAGTACATAATCATATTATGTTCTCATCCTCTTCCCCTCCAACATACATCGCCTCAATACGTACTGTAGGTCTGGATGTTCGCCTTACCAACACGCCCCAGCTTCAGACCCGCTCGTCCACGTTGACGAAAAAGCTGCGCAGCTGCGCTGTGCACTTTGTGTTTTCATGCCAAACCCTGCCAAGCTAGCTTTCATCCCTTACCCCTGCGCCTCAAGTATGTATACCTGTATAGTTGTATAATCTATCATTTTCTATCTAGAATATATACGTATATATCTTTATATATCTGTCTATGTCTATATATATATATATGTATATATATCTTTGTATAGACCTATATATATATATTATTGTTTTTTCTATATACCTGTATATTCATATCTCTATATGTCTATATATGTTTTTCTCTATATATCTGTATCTCTATATACTTATATCTACATATATATATATACATTTATTCTATATATATATACATATCTCTATATCTCAATATATATCTTTATGTCTTTATATCTCTACACATCTATGTATCTATATATCCATATATATATATACACATCTTCATGTATGTATACCTATATGTACCTATATATATATCCATACATCTATACATCTATACATCTATATACCTATATACCTATCTATGTATATCTAGTATATATTTACATGTATATATTTATATGTCTATATATATATATTTAAATATATATATATATCTTTAAATATATAAAAATATATATCTATCTAAGTAGCTATTTGTATATATGTAGATATATGTACTGTACATATCTATTTGTATTTATATCTATCTCTACATATATGGATATCTATATATCTGTATATATCGATATATCTCTATATATCTAAATATCTATATATCTATATTTCTATATATCTATTTACCTGTTTATCTATTTATCTATTTATCTTTTTATCTATTTATTGATTTATCGATGTATCATGATTTATCTAGTTATCTATTTATCTATGTATATATATATACATCCATTTATCTATATGTCTTTTTATCTCTATATTTATTTGTATATTTATGTATATATTGGGATTGTGCAAGAACTGGGAAAAATGGGAATAAATCAATGCCTTTGGGCTACCTTATGCCGGGACAACCAACATTTTGGCAGTGATTGTGATGCATGAAAAGCATCAGCAACAGAAGGAGTTACTGCCACATGCGCAAGCACAAATACGTTCGTTGGACGATCGAGGTTTCAACATGTTCCAACAGGTTGCACGATGGTCACGGTTTTCCAGGTTACCAAAATCCAGCAGACACTGGTGTATCGAGCTAATAGCAGGAGTACAGAGTGGCACCACTTGCCTCCAATCCCGCATCCTCCGCCATTGCTTGATGAGGATAGACACGGCTGCTGATGGCTCGGCGACACAGAGACAGATTTTGCTTATGACCTAGGAAACCCGATCCTAACCATGCATTGCATGTATTATACGTATTTTCAATCCAATAAATTTATCGCATTGTAGAAGCGATTAGAGCGCTTTGTACTGCGCGCAGGTATTGAGAGTCTAAGGTGAATCTAGAGTCATTGCACTTGGAGATGTTGTAGTAGCCACCTGGAGGCACAAAGTAAGCGTGCCAGTTGGGGCAGTCGCCGTTGAAATGGGAGCATTTGGCATTGTGTTTTGGAATATGTGAGCATACTGTATCACCAAAAATGGAAGGGGATACCGTCCTCCTGTTCGAGGTCAAACCTTTGGATTGGTCGAATTCAAGGACAGCTGCACTACCAGACGGAATTACTCAGACACTTGCATCTCTGTTGCAAATCATTAGTTTCAAGGAGACAAAGGTGGCTCATGTTTGGGCCTAAGCATGATGCTACCGCCATTCGGAGCAGAACATTGACTTTATTGAAAACTCTGAACAACGACCGCATGTTGATCGTTTTCGAACGTTGCACGGCTCAAAGCTTTTGAAAGGTGTTGACAAGTTAGCAAAGTGAAAAAAATTGGCATGCATCACTTGACCTTAGGTGATCAAGATGCAAAGATCCTTCATGGTCGATGACCGGGTGCTAGTGTTCACAGAGGCTGGAAGATCGAAATGTTCCTGACAAATTGGAGAAGTAATTTCTTCGTAATTTCTCCGTATTTAGCACCATCAAGCTGTCAAGCTGAGTTCAAAAGATTGAATGATGTATGCTATGAGGTGACTGAAGTAGGTCGATGCATGTGTTAAAGGTGTGGTTGTTTCGGTGCGGGAAATAAAGTGTAAGAAATCAGTGCCGTGAAGATTTCTACTTACAAAAGCTCGCATTTATGGTTTTCATTCTCGGTGTTCAGCAGACCTGGCGGCCTGGCGTCAGGCAAAATCGCATGTGGACAATGCCAAAGTCGAGGAAATGCCAAAAGCTCAGAAAGAGAAAGTACTCTTCTGCTCGTTGCAGTAGGCAGCCCAATAACTAATAAACAGGAGAATGTTCCAACGGTGACCGGCCAGCCAGAGTCCTGTCTGGTTCCTTTCCCCTTTGCCCAGGACAGTGCAGTTTCAGGCAGCCTGGGCACCAGTGGGTGACGAATTAGCAGATTTTTCCATGATTTGGAACTACCCTCTGGTAATTTAACATAGCTATGGAAAATCCCCATTTTTAATGGGAAAATCCACTATAAATGGCCATTTTCAATAGCAAACTGTTAGTTTACCAGAGGGTACTGAAAGATCTTCAAGCACTGGCTCCAATCCAGTGCCCGGTTGTTTCTGTGCTCTTGTCAAAGTCCCCGGAGGCGCCTATCATCGATGCCATGAACATGCGATCGGACAAAGTCTCAGACATGTGAAGAACATGGTGTTTTTTGAGTTGACAATGGACCTTCCAAAGTTGTCATCAGAATCGTACCCGAATCTTTTTGTTGTGCCAATGATCTTTGTTTATTCTCATGGTTTTTATATGTTTTTTTTATAGCCGGTATAGCTCAATTGTTGGTCATCTTCCATCCTAATTTTTGGTCATACGGTGGAAGGATATGGGGCACCACCTGGGATGGACCGAGGTCTTGGCACAGCAGGTTCCCTTGGCAGAGAAGTTGGCGAAGGCAACCGGGGCAGAGATATGATGTACGAAATCAAGGCCCTCAATGAACCCGAATTTGCTGGTTTCAAACATGAATAAATACATACATGTGTGTGTATATATATATATAGAATCATAGACATATAGATAGATAGATAGATTGCGCGGGATGAACATTCATATACATATTTATATATATATACACATACACCATCCATATATAAATATATATGTACACACACCTAATTTGTTCATGCGGCCATGCGAAAAGATGCATGTTTCAGGGCATTGGATCCATAGAAGATGCCATCCATCAGCATATTTGCTGTTTACCATCAGCCTCATGTGGTTCACGGCAGGTCAAAGCTGCAGCCACAGAAATTATGCCAGTGCCTTTGGCGCAAAGCTGGGCAGTGCTTCACAAGAAGTCCTGGAACCAAAGACAGTTTTGAATGAAACTAATACCTCTTTTTACACTTGGATCATGTGGGGATGGGTCAAAACCTATGATTCACTCACATAAACCTATCATAAACCTATCATAAACATCAATTTTCACCGCCATGTCCCACAAAACATTGGGGTGATGAGCATCCATCAACAGCAGCTGTGCTTTCTTTTGGTCACATCACAGCACCCGGCCAGGGAATGGCATCTCCAGGTGAGGCCAAAGAGCCCACAAAAGTGAAGGTACCTTGGCGAAGCAAGCTTTGGAAGTCTGCTGCAACTGTGTAATATTGTGTAATTCCATCCACCTAAGAAGAACACCCCCTCATCTATGGATGGAGAGAGAGAGAGAGAGAGTGATGGATGGATGGATGGATAGAACAAAAAGGTTTTGAAAATACGCAGTAGCTAGGCAGAAAAACAAATAGATACACAAAAAAACATAGGTACACTAAATCAGGATTTCTAGGGGGTGTTTGAAGATAGAGAGAGAGGGATGGGGATTGAAATATATTGAAACGCTGCCAATTCCACGTTGCGGACAGGAGAAAGAGAAAAAAGAAAAGAAATTGAAAGACAAAAAGGACCGACATGACACGGTGATTTGTTGTCCCACTGTACCCTTTGATGGAAAGAATTCCATGTTCAGCGTGAATTGTTGTATCAGCAACATCCAGCAACCAAAAGCCATGGAAACTTGCCATTGCCGTGTTTGCTGCGCGTTTTCCTTCGCAGCTGCGTTGCCTCCATTTTTCACCAAGGAGAAAAAAGAAAAAAAGGAAAAGAAAAAGGACAAAGAAGGAGTGAACCTGCATGGCAAGTGGGCTCTTGGAGAAAGACACAGAGTTGTCAAGTGTTCGCCGCGTGATTGAAACAATGTGATAGACGGATTGGGGTCAAGGAACTGCAGATTCGGACGCCTTGGAGTCTTTGGCCATGCCTCCTATGACATCCATGACCTAATAGATAGCCAACTGTAGCTTTAGCTCCCACTTTGCCACTTACCAGCAAAGTATCCGCATGTACTTGTAGGCTAATTTTCTTCAGGTTTGAGTGCAGAGACAATGTGAACAGGGTTGTATGTTTAGACATGTCAACCTGATGTTTCCGTGCCCTGGGGTGATCAGGTGGGTAAATCGATAGAGATGACCAAATCAATCGAATTCCTTGGAAAGTCTTTGATGTTCTCTCTTTGGATGTCCTCGCAGGAAAAGAGAAGAAAGAAAAGAAGTGCTGCCCTTGATAATTCTATTGACTATTGACCAAAGAGCTGCCAAGTTGACAGGGAAGAGTTTTGCAACCAAATTCTGTGTGTTCTACAATGTCTCTGTCATGCTTGCTTTGTTGTAACATGAAAGCCAGTACAGGTGGTTGAAGTAGTGAACTTGCACTGGGAGACCTAGTGGGAAAACATACTAGGCTGCTGGACGTTTGAGTTACTTTTTCTGTGTCATGATGGCCATAAGGAAAGACAAAGATAAGAAGAAGAAAAAGGAGAAGGATAAAAAGGCCTTGCTGCATCTAGTGACCTTAGTGCATTTTGATTTGCCGAACTATTGTTTGTGTGTTATGTGTTGTTTCCTCGTGGTTTCGTTGCTTGGTTGTGTGTGTGTGTTCTTTGCATGTTTCTTCCCTCCAATCGTTTTTGGTGGTGTTTTGGCTTTGATTTGCTGTTTCCTTGTTTCCCTATTTGCTTCCCCTTGCTTGGTTTCTCTTGCGATTTGATGGCCAAAAAAATGCTACCTTGCATGGCCGCTTGCCTCGTTGTTTTTCTTTTTAGGCTGGTATATCTGGTATGGTTTGCAGCTCACAAGCACTGTGCTTTGGAGCACAGAAAAAAGCTCTTTTCAGGAGAAGCGGAAAGACCAGAGCTTGGAAGAAACCAAAGCAGCAGACGCACCGAAAAGTAAGCGACCAAACGATGAAGCTGAAGCGACTCGCTCGGCTGAGGCCAGACTGCAGCAACATGGACACTGCACTTGAAAGATTATACGAACGAAGTACTAAAAGATGTAAGAACGATATGAAATGTTCAGCATGCATTGTTTTGCTTGTTGTTCTGTTGTGATTGCTATCTTCTCTTTTGGAAACGGATCAAGCAAGATTTGCGGTAGAATGATGTGCCACAGCAAGTCAGACATTCAATTTTGTCCCAAGGCAGCTTCAGAGGGATGACAGAACGGATTTGAGCCAATCTTTTTCGGGTTTTCAGAGTGCTTGCAACATTTCGATACATTTCGTTTGTTCCCACCTGATTCAGACCGTGCAGGCTGCCGAGATGGAAGAAGAGGAAGAGGCAGGTGTTGGAACTTGGCACGCGCTGTTTGTCTTGTCTTCGTTTTGAGAAAGATATGGGATGCTCGAACAACGCAGTGGAATGTGTCACGGGGCAAAAACAGATCATATAAGTTATAAGACTAAAAAGGATAAAGTAAGTACAAGTAGAATGGAGCAGATAAATAGGGCGATGTAGCAACAGACTGTCTCGCAAGAAATTTGTGATTGCTTCGCCGTTTCATAAAGTTAACAGAATTTGGCGTCATTTGGTATTGTACTTTGCTACAGTCCTCGGTCCTCCATGATGCCATGCCAAGCTGCTTTTGCCAAGTAGCTTCGAAGGAAGAAATGGTCGACATTGACGAAGAAGTTGAGGCCATTCGCTTCGCAACCCGCGATACGCGTCCATGCTGTAGGTACCCTGTAGATTGTGCACTTTACAGACTCAAAGGACCAAAGGTACTCGCAGATACGTTCAAATGATGAAAATGGTGTAGGTGTTTCGAGGTTTGGCTTTTACCCTGTGGCACACCTCGCCATTGGGAAAAGCTCAATCATGTTCAATTTCAGGTGAATAAATAATCTAGAAACAACTATATTATATATTACATATATATATATATATTACATATATATATATTACATATATATATATATATATTACATATATGGGCAGTGCATTCTGCACGTACTAACAACTGCACGTGGAGCATTCGGTGGGATGGCTTGATCAACCATGTTGTGGTGGCCATTTGGGCTTAAGGCGGGCCACCGTAGGAACTTAAGGGTGATCTTGCCTTCCCTTTGTCTTCTTTGAAGAGGGAAAATTTTCCATGGTCACTCTTATTTCCGCAGCTGATCTAGCTGCAATTACCACGGTTGCAGATGCTCGAACTTGGGCTGGTATAAGTGAGGAAGCTTGGAACGCGTTCAGTGCAACTTTGGGAACTATACCGACGTTACAAGTCTTGGCGTACGTCCCATTGTTCGCTATTCGCGATGCCGTGCAAGACGCGCGGGTGCCTGTTCCGGCTCAAGGAGAACCGGGTACGGACAGGTATATCGCTGAAACCACCGGTCCCTTACTATTGTCGAGGGCACCCAGGCGGGATTGATGGTTCAAGCAGCGCGTCAAAAATACGGGAGAGAAGCTGTTGACCCTCTGGACCCACCAGCCACGGTGGCACCGGTTCAGGGTGGAGGGCAAGCGCAGCCAGGTACTAATGCACCGAAACCGGCTACGCTTAGGAAAATCAAGAATAACCAAGTCATCGATCAGGCAGACGAAGGAGAAATCCCCACACTGGATCATGCCACACTGGATGACCACTACAAGGTGTTGAGAGCCGCCAAAGGTGGGCCAGTCCGACCAGAGACTGAACCGTCACCGGACCAGATTGCCGCCATGAAGGCGAGGGTCCTGGAGATGGACTTGAGTCCGTACGCGGACTTCGCTGTCTTTGTCAACTTCCAGGGTCGATTTTCGAAAGCACTGAAATTCTTGAATCACGTGCTGCAACCGGACGGGACGTTCAAAGCGGTCGAAGTTTCGGGACCTCCGAACTTTGATGCCTGGACCCTGTCCTGGAAGGTATATGTCAATACCTTACTCACCCTGGAAGTTGTAGTCAACGGCACAAAGATGTCAGTGGTTTCACTCTCGGCCATGGAAGAGTACCACGACATGTTCCGGGACCTGGTGAAGAACTACCCGGAAGCATGGCACCTGTTGGTGATTGCGGAGGACCGGTGCCGAGGAGAACACTTCCCAAGGGTACGACGTGAGCTGGAGGCCCAGCATGGCAGAGGATTGGCCCCAAATTTTGAACCGTCGAGACCTTGGGACGAAGTATTCCGCACGGCCTCCCGCGACCGGGACTATTGGGACAGGCACGTTCGTGAGCCGGCCTTACTGTTCCGAACTGCAGGTAAACACAAGGAACAGGCCGGCGGAACCGGCGCCGGCACCGATCTCACGAGCGACCGTCCGAAGGCCAAGCCCAAGGCCAAAAGGTCGCAGAAGGAGCGACTCAAGCGGCAACTGGCGAGACTGCGGGAGAGCACAGAGGACCCGCCGGCCTCAGTTAGCGACCCGCACCGGGGAAAGGGTGCCGGGAAAGGAAAGGACCGGGGTGCGAAGAGAGACGCCCAAGGACGATTTGTTACGGACCGTCAGGGCAAGCCCATTTGCTTCGGGTTCAACAACGGAGATTGTAAAGGGGTGTGCCCAAAGAACATGATGCACATCTGCCAAATATGCATGGGGCCCCATCCTGCAAAGGCCTGCAGGAAAGGTGCGGGGGCTTGACCCGCCCGAGCATCGCACCCGGGCCGTGCTGCCCGGGCACCGGTCTGGGAGGATACCCCACCGCATCCCGGACCGGAAAGTTTTGCAGGCGGGGAGCGCATGGATGATGCCGACCCGGAGGCCCATCACCGTGTCTTCTGGGAGTTGCCCATGGGCGCAGGGGGGCTAACTTGGGCCATCGGGAAATTGGGACTGTCAACTATAGGGAAAGCATCACACAGAATCACGACATCACCACTGATGAGGGTTTCATTGCTGCCCTGGAATACCGGGCTCGATGGAAACATTTGGCGCCACCAGGGGAAACCACCAAGAAAACACCGCTGTCAGAGACGGCAACTGAAACGGCAAACAGATGTGCAGCCATCGCGGAAGACCAAGATGAGCGAGGATTGTACTTCTCAGTTGAAAACCCGGAGGGGTCGCCGCTCTGGGAATTGAAGGCCTATCAGAGATTGGCAAAGAGGCCAGGGGTGAAGCGAATCCGGCTGGACCACTGTGCATATGGAGGCCCACACCTCGTCACCACGGCAGTAATGCACAATGCACCGTGGTTGACCGAAGGGAGAAGATGCCATGAGGTACCAGCACATCGGCACACAAGGGTGAGTAAAGAGGAGAGGTCAAGTGGACGGGGTATGATCGACACCCCCACTGGCCTTTACGAAGAGTGGGCCTCCAGTTGGCAAACATGGCTCAACAATTCAGAGCTAGCCACAACCAACACCGCCTCGAAAGAGACCTATGTGAGGCTGGGGAAGTACCAAAACAAGCTGGTTAGGGCTGAGCTGGTGCAGGACAGACCCCACTGAAATCCAGAGGACCCAGAGCCACGCTCAGACGAGGAAGATGTCAGCGTGGGAGGCATGAGGAATCCTAGGAAAGCAATTATGCAGATGCCCGCCTGGCAGACCTGGGGAGAAGCAGCTAATCGGGCGCTGGATGAAGTCGCCAGGGCTGTGCCGGACTTTGATAAACTGGCCAAGTCCCTGGGGGCTGAAATGACGCCCGAGGAAGCTGATTTAGCGCAGACCAGGCTCAGCAGGATTGGCAAGCTAGCTGCGAAAGCTCTCGGGGCCCTAGCTGGATGCCCACAATGGGATGAAAAGGGCCCCACAGGATGGCGGTGGCAGTTGGTGGACGCCGTCACCAAGCAGACCCGAGACCCGGATATAGATGTGGCACGGTGGCTCGGGGGACATACACCGCTTGGCATTGACAGGCCTATCGTGCCAAGAGGGGTCTTCCAGTGGACGGACATCACGAAAGCCCAGGAGGCAAGTGCCGAATACCTGGCTGCACTCAACGGTCAGGGGCACATCGACAGGAACTACACCTCCTTCCATGAACATGAGGAAGAGTCCCGTGGAATTGGGCAGGTTGATCCAGGCTGGGCATCTAGAACCGCTCGGATCATGGAACGAGGTCACATCAAAATGGCCGGGTGCCAAAGCCACGAAACTGGCCACTCTCGTCAAACCAAAGGCGGATGGATCACTCAAGATCAGATTCATTGCCGATATGAGGCGCTCCGGGATCAATGGGATGGTTCACCTCGAGGAAAAGATTGCCCTACCCCGGGGGTCCGACCTTGTCCGGGACGCCCTGGACCTAATTGAACAGGGGCAAGCGGAGGTGGAACTATACACCGCCGATTTCACGGATGCATTCTTGAATCTTCCCATCGACCCAGCCGAACAGCAATATGCTATCATCATGGCAGAACCTGGCCAATACTGCGCCTACAGGGGTGTACCATTCGGACTCGCGTCCGCACAGTTGCTCTGGGGGCGTTTGTCAGCGTGGCTGGGACGAGCCGCCCAGGCCCTCCACCCGCCCGACCGCCACAGACTGCAGATTTACGTTGATGACCCGGCAGGCGTTATCCGAGGCACCCGGACACAACGTGACAGGATCATTAGCAAAACACTTGCCCTGTGGGCTGCCTTCGGAGCTCGCATTGCCTTGCACAAAGCCAGCCGAGGCAGACAAATCAAATGGATCGGGGCGGAATACACCATCGTACACGGTGGAGTTCACATTGCCGTGGATGCTGACCGCATTCAGAAGCTTCAACAAACTGTTGAAGATGCCCTCAACCAGCAGGGCATGGTTTCTGGAATGCGTAGCGTTGCAGGCGAACTCAGCTGGGTGGCGGGCCTTATCCCCACCATTCGCCCGTTTGTCAACATGATTTGGGCGGCTGTCTACAGCATGGAAGGGCAAAGTGCCAGAGTCACCGCGGGGAAGTCCCGTGCCAGGATGCGACCCACCGGCATGGTGTTCTCTAAGGCCATCCGATTGCCCATGATCTGGATGAAGAAATTCCTGCAAGGCCAGCATGGGGGCCTCCGCCGCACCCGCTGGATCTCTGATCGTCACGCTCAACCACAGTGGGTTATCCGCACTGACGCGTCAACGTCTGGAATGGGCGGCATCCTGCTCGACCAACAGGGAAGGCCGGTACGCTGGTGGGCCAGCCCGCTCCACCCCAACACCTTGCAGGAACTGCAAATAACAGCAGGCCAACCGGGCCTTATGACAGTCTACGAACTCCTGGCCCTGCTCCAGTCGGTTCACACGTGGCGCCATCTGTGGCGCCATCTGTTCCGCCGGTGTCGGCTGGGCCTCCTAGTGCAGCTTGATAGTGAGTCCGCCCTGCGCGTGGCCATCAAACTGGCGTCACCACATCCCGTCGTGAACCGATTGGCAGCCGAAATGGCACTCCTCCTAGAGGACCTAGGAGCTGAAGCATTCACCGGCCAACACTGGCGCAACATCATCAACATCGAGGCAGACGCCTTGTCGCGCCTGCAGGAGGGAAAGGACGTGCCGCAACGGTTGCGGGGCTTACCACGGGACTCTGCTGACCCACCTCCACTTCGGATCCAACGTGCACCTCGACTGGCACTCTAAGCGTGAGCTGGAGGGGGTCGTAGTGAACTTGCCCACACGTAGTCATTCCAGGTTACCCCAAATCTTGGTCTATGTAACCCTAAAGTTTCGTTAATACACCCAAGAGTAAACTCATGTCCACTCCATCCCCTTACCTGACAGGTTACTTAAGCCATCAAACTTCCCGCAGCCCTTTTTTGCTCATGCTGGCCACAGTGGCCTTAACCATCGGAGGGGTTGTCCCGACTGACCTGTTGGGCGCCCTTCTGGTCGACTTGTTTTTCACGGCCCTCCTGTGCTGGGCCGCGGCGCGATGCTGCTCTGCACTGTGCGCCGGCGGCATTGGAAAACTGTTGGGCTTACCGCGGGGCTTGTCGCGGCATTCCGGAGTTCGCGACCGAGTCAGGAGGGAAAGAAACGACAGCGAACCGACTCCTGCTCCGGAAGGGGAAAGGCCCCGACCGCTGCCAGGGGGACCAATACAGCGGAAAGGGTCCCATTGCCGGCAGAGGGCACAACATGCAGGCCCAATCCGTCTTCAGAGCCCCTGCCTCAGCCAAGCAGGGGCGGGACTGGAGGAGTCCGGGACCGTTGGCATGGGCTGACGGACCAAACTAAGCCGCACCTTTGGGACCTGGGCAAGTTGTGGAACTGCCAGTACTACTGGGGGAGCTTCCTTCGAACCATGACCGCGTCGCAGTCCTCGTCGGGATCATCCGGCAGTTCGAAGGAGGACGCTGGTGCAGGGAATGGCACTCCCGCTCCGCCGCCGGAGGGGGTGCCGGAGGCAACCGGCAATGCAAAGAAGAAAGAAGACCGGCGCAACGAGGACCCCCCGGATCCGGGCCGGGGGGACCGCCGTCCTTGGGTGCACCCGGACGCGCCGGAGTTTGCCCCGAGGTGCTGCAGCTGCGACAAAAGTGGAATAGCTGCATTGGCACACCAGGGAGAAATTACAACGGATACCCTGGCCACACGTGGAACGGGTCCGGACGGGAACCGGCGGCTGGCCATATGTCTTGCCCCGAACACCCGAGGCATCATCCGGGGACATGACTTGACACGCAGGTGTGGGCACACCCCCTGTCCTAGGTGCACCATCCGACTGGAGGACCAGTACATGTGCGCTTGCTGTGCGGCTCGCGTCCGAGCGCAGGGCTCAGCGCAGCACGGGGCCGGGCGCCTCCCGGCACCCTTGCCACGAGCCAACCGGCGGGATCGGCAGGGGCCGCGGAGGCTGCCGCCGCCCCGCACGGGGGGGCGTGCGGAGAAGGAACCTGCCCCCGAGCGCACGGAGGCGAAGGAGGAAGAGGATCGGACGGAAGCCGACCCGCAGGAGGAAAACCGCGGGCCGGAGCCAGCAGCAGCAAGGGTGGACGCACGCCGGGAAGATCCGCGTGACCCACACCCGGACCTGACCGAGCCGCGCGAGTCACCGCCGAGGCCAGAACCCAGAGACAGGGAACGTACCCCGCGCCGCGCCGCCGCGAGGAATCGGTGCCACCCGGTGGATCGCACCTACCGCACAGACTCTGAAGACACAGATGACTCGGTAGAGGAAGAAGAGGTCACGGAGGAGGAACCTGACCCACATCGAGGCGCGGCACCAGGGGGAAGCCGGAGGAGCCGCTCCCGGGAGCACCCACCGGACACCGAGGACAAGTATGAAGGGTGGCCCCGAACATATTAGTGCACGGTGGGATGTGGACGATACGGCCGAGAGAACGTTGGTACGTGCTGCGGGGCTTGTGATGACACCGGCGGCATGGAACATACCAGGGACTGCGACCGCCGCAACGGAAGGCCGCCTCCTGACTATAGCTGGCATTGGGACCCACCTGGCAAGGGCGGAGGTTGGGACCCATACGGCGGAGGGGGAAATAAAGGTCAAGGTTGGGGAAAGGGGCGCCCGACCAAGAAAGCGGCCAAGGCCAAGCGTGACTATGATCGGAGTGTCCGGCGCCGGCAGGAAGGAAGGTACTGGACAAAGGCCCCCTTCCCCGCCGAAGCTTACCGACTCGCCTTGGGCATGGGAGTAGCTGCTTCCACCCGGCGGTCATGGCGGACAAGGATTCGTACCTGGGACGCAGCCGTAGAGCGGCTCCGCCGGGAGGAGTTGTTGGTGCCGGCTGAAGACCCAACACGACTGACCCCAGAAATAGCGCACAAGGTGGTGGCGTTCCTCAAAGCGCAGGGGTACAGGTCTGCCGAGCTGTACCTGTCAGCCGCTATGAGAAGGCATAAGACGCACCACGATGTCGATGGCCCTCTGAGCTTGGCCAGCAAGGAGGCCGTACAGATGGCATTGAGGGGACGGGGACCGCCTGTGGGGAAACAGCCGGTCCCGATACCACAGGCGGGACACCCGCAGTTCAACCTGCTGATGGTAGGGATTTGGTACCTGCTCCGGGTATCCGAAGTGATCAACCTGGATCTGGAAGATGTTGCCATCAGACAGAGCACAGCCGGCTGGACAGTGGCACTGGTCATAAGGAAGTCGAAGACCGACCAGGAATCCCAGGGGGAGACCATAGCCCGGGATTGTGTTTGCCTTACTGGAACCCATCCGGGGGCACACAGGCTGTGCCCGGTCCACACGCTGTGGAACCAGGCTATCCAGCGGGTGAAGGAACTGCGCGCCTTGGGGTACACCGGGCAGAAGGTGCCGCTGTTCACTGCCGATGACGGCGGGCGCATGAGCGGCAAGTCCTGAATGCCGTCGAGCTAGCCGCCCGAATGAGCGGCGAACCGCTACAGGACGACGGCCGGGCCAGGTATGGGACCCACAGCCTGAGAGTGGCAGGGGCGGTGCTGGCCTTTCAATCCGGGCTCTCGGAAGCAGTAGTCGGTGGCGATCGGAGAGGGCCATGCTGGCCTACCTGCGAGGCGTCCCGCTGGTTCGCGCCGCCAGTGCAGCCGAGACAATGGTCACCGCCATGCTGGACGCCGGCGGCAACCCACTGGGGTCCACCAACTTCGGACCGTTGGTGCGAGCCGGAAAGGTGACGGGCGGTTGGGCTCTCGGGGCGAGAGACGTGTCAGGAGTACCGACCACCGAGGAACCAGAGGAGGTAGACCAAGAAGAAGGTCCCCGGGTGAGGAACAACCTGACGGGTCTGGTGCACCGGCTCGGGAACTTCCGAGGACCTGCCGCTGGTTGGACCACGCGTTGCGGCTGGCACTGGTCGGAGCTTGGAACGGCCGGGCAATTCCTGAGGGAGGAAGGTGCACAGTGCGGACGGTGCTACAACCTGAAGCAACAGTAGCCGCGACCGACGGTCAAGCAGGAGGCCAAAGATGATGGGAGCGGCTCGGCAAGGGCACAATAACCAAAGAGATAGCAATTACGATTTTAATGATAATAAGAATAATGAAGGGTTAGTCAAATCAAATGAGGTTGATAGGGCCCTTCATTGTCAGGAGTTTTGGTTTGTTTTGACCTCCCTGAGGAGGGGAAACACCAGTGATCCTGATGTGGAGGGGGTTTTTTGTCCTGGGGAGATCTGACCTGGGGGGACACGGATTCTTAGGTCCCACTTGGTTAGGTTCGTGTTCCCGGTTTACCCCCTTGCAAGGTTTAGGAGGTCCAAGCATGAAACCTTTGATGCATCCGACAACCAAGGTATGACCTCGCCTTTCAAGGGATGGGCGAACTTGCAGCACCATCAGAAAAATAGATTGCGGTCCACTGCGGGCGGTTGGGCGGGGTGTCGAATCATCACGGGCATCGTTGTTGGGCAGTGCATTCTGCACGTACTAACAACTGCACGTGGAGCATTCGGTGGGATGGCTTGATCAACCATGTTGTGGTGGCCATTTGGGCTTAAGGCGGGCCACCGTAGGAACTTAAGGGTGATCTTGCCTTCCCTTTGTCTTCTTTGAAGAGGGAAAATTTTCCCCCACCCCCCCACTACCAACGGGAAAATTTTAAGCACCTTCATTAACCTAGGAGGCCAAAGATGATGGGAGCGGCTCGGCAAGGGCACAATAACCAAAGAGATAGCAATTACGATTTTAATGATAATAAGAATAATGAAGGGTTAGTCAAATCAAATGAGGTTGATAGGGCCCTTCATTGTCAGGAGTTTTGGTTTGTTTTGACCTCCCTGAGGAGGGGAAACACCAGTGATTCTGATGTGGAGGGGGTTTTTTGTCCTGGGGAGATCTGACCTGGGGGGACACGGATTCTTAGGTCCCACTTGGTTAGGTTCGTGTTCCCGGTTTACCCCCTTGCAAGGTTTAGGAGGTCCAAGCATGAAACCTTTGATGCATCCGACAACCAAGGTATGACCTCGCCTTTCAAGGGATGGGCGAACTTGCAGCACCATCAGAAAAATAGATTGCGGTCCACTGCGGGCGGTTGGGCGGGGTGTCGAATCATCACGGGCATCGTTGTTATATATATATATTACATATATATATATTACATATATATATATTACATAATATATATATATGCATACAAATGCATACGAATGCATACATGCAAAATATAGATGATTTTCCCAATAGAGGAACATTTTTTAGCCAGTGTTTTTTTTAATGACGCGGCTCCAGGTCTTAGCTGAGGGCGAAGTGGTGGGCCTCATGGGGAGCTCATCGTTTGGGCCTGAGAAAGCCTTCAATTATTGCTGATGATGGATGCAATGCATGTGATATGTTAATAGATAAAGATATATATATATAATATACATACATATACCTATCATGATTATCATGGATGGAATACATACACATCTACATCTACATGTACGTATACATGTGCATATGCATATAGACATAGTAGTTCCACGGGTCCAATACGGCAAAAAGTCCTTGGCCAACCTCTCCAGGTCCTCATCAAGCTCCAGTGTCCGGGGCTTGGTGCTATCAGACCGCATGATCCAAAGGTCGCAAGAGTCTTTCCAAGATGTCCTTGGCGTTTGCTGGATTGATATGAAATATGTTTTGGAGTGATTTGGAATATATTATATGGATTGATATGGAATAAGGAACTACTTGGAATATACTAGAATATACGTCTTTGTTTTCTTGCCGACAAGCAAGACTTGCTGGAAATGGCTAAGGATTATGGTGCTGATGCGCTGGTTGAACTTCCGGTCGACGTCTCCAAGCCAGATGAAGTGTCAGATGCACGGGTGCCCATGTGACTGGATCTTGTTTCAAAGTAGTCACCAGTAAATAATAGTAAATTCCTCATAAATGTGTATATATATACATACATATATATATATATGTATATATTATACATACATACATATATATATATACATACATACATACATACATACATTATATATATACATACATATATATATATATATATACATACATACATACATATATATATATATACATATATATATATATACTTATTTATTCTGTTATTTACATACAGTCTAGGCAGACTGCAAAAGAAAAGCAAAAAGTACGCGGTTCATCCTTCATACGGGTTTGTGTGGGATGAGCAACCGTTGTGCACTCACCTTGAATTAACAGCTCGTGGCAAAAAGATTGTCAGGAACGCAGCGCAGGTAGGATGCAAAAACATCTTCAGCATTGGTTATTGCACGTTTCTTTGCGTGCATTTAAAGTCAGTTGCTGGTATGTAGATCCATTCGTTGCATTGACGTTCAATCGCAGATTGTTGCTGCCTCTTGTTGTCAGTTACTATTTTCAAAACCAAGGGCGACGAAGTGCTTTGTGAAGCGCCGTAGGGTGCCAAGGAAATGGGAAGGTAAGAAACTGCTACTGGATAATGCAACGGATTGCAAAGGTCAACGTCCTCCAATTTCTCGGGGGATTTTGTTTGCCACAGGTCATTACTTTTGTCACTTCGAAAATATCTGGAAAGTCCAGGGCCCACCCCCGTAGCGGTTCGGTCGACTGAGCATTCCGCCAAGGACACCACTTCGTCCTCCCAAAGGGAAAGGAAAGGGCAAGGACGGGACGCAGATAATGAAAAAAGCAGCACATGAATCACGGAAGTGTAGCAGGTTTGAAATGCTCTGCTACCTACAGATTTTTCAAAGTATATGAATCCAATCCAAAGCCACTGGAAAATCCTCATCCACATGACTCAACAAATTCAAAGACCGATTTGCTCGGACTGACGAGAAACCTGGTTGTGCCAGTTTCCGCGCCGGCCCCTGCTGGGCCGGGGAGTGCCAGCTCCATTCAGATCGATGCCCAGACTGATGCTGGGAGACTCAATTCGCGGCAGATCGCTGCAGAGTTTGGCCGACTGTTTGGCCTTGTATTCAACCGCTACTTGTTGGATTGTCATTGCATCGTGTTGCACAAAGGCGGCGGACTGCATCTCTCACAGGTCTGAGGGTGGGAATGTGGCCATGGTTCGAGTTTATCCAGACATATCCAGAATTTGATCAGGACGTGTCCAGTTCAGAGTCTCAAGGCTGAACTGTGTCTTTTTTGTTAAGTCCGACTGTATGTTCAGAAGTAACAGAACAAAATATGTCAGACTGATACAAGATACATTTGCCATCATTTGCCATATTTCATCAATCATCATATGTCAACAGAAAAGGGTCAGTGTGATGGTGAAAGAGTGGCCTTGGCAGGTGCCATCGACTTGGATGATGCAGTTATGGATTTGGGTTGAAGCGCTTCACAGCTGTGATGCACCGATACTATCCACTAGCTTCACTAGCTACAAACTTCTGTTTGTTTCGTTCTGAATTGAAAAACAGCGCTTTTTTTGCCTGGGAAGAAAGTCAATAGATCTTTAATTGCGGTGTCCACATGGCAAAAGGTCATCTACGATTTAGGGGCCCAAGACCGGTTTCAACTAGAAAAGCAAAGATTGTGTTGTACTTTGCTGTGTTTCGGTTGAGACCTTTCTCGTTCTTTCTAATTAGACTGAGCCCGAACACAGTAGGAGTTTGGAAGCTACCCATCAAAAGTAAGTTGTAGTCTATTCATATCAAGATATTCGACGGGAAGAGCTAGACCAAAACTGGATAGAAGCCACGAGCAAAAGGAAACTAGTACAATGTCGGGCGAAACTCAACAAACCCTGCCAACCAAAAAGCAAAAGCATCCTTTTGTAAAAATATTGCCAAAATGTGTTGCTTTAGTTGGGAGTACTAACATGTGGAAATTATATAAATTATACAAATATAGATAAAACGTACTTGTTGCAATAAAGTATCTAAAATATTCTAAAATTATGTTCATCTTTAGAATATTATATTGTTACCGCCTTCGGGTTCTGTACCCCCTGTAAAAACACAGTCTGTAAGAATATGTATGTATGCATTATGTTCATTCTTTTAATTCTATTGGTCTAATATTTTCTCCTAAAATAGCTCTACGGAAAGATGCGAACCTGTGAAATCTGGAAGTAGATGCGTGTTTGGGGTCGCAGTATGTGGATCTTTAGGGTGACAATGACAATATATGAATTATTTGAATAGATCTCCAGGTAAAATCACTAGAGGCGGAATATAATGAATAAAATCAGATAATAATTTTTATCTTAGTCTGATATTGTATGTCGAAATACTTATATGTAGTATTTATATATATATATGTATTATACCAGAAGTACCGCACAAGGCGCTGGCGGAAGTTTCAAAGATAGGAAACTCTGGCATGGATGGCAAAGCGAATCCACTGATGGACCGAAAGGTAGTTGGAGTTGTGCCTTGTGGAGTTGTTGCAGTGGTCACCTCAACCACAACTGCTGGATGTAGTGTGGTGCAGTGTAGTGCAATGTAATTGTAGTTGTAGTTGTATTGTAGTGTAGTTGTTGTAGCTGTAGTTGATGTAGTTGTAGTTGCAATTTTAGTTGTAGTTATTGCTGTTGTAGTTGTGGTTGTAGTAGCTGTAGCTGTTATTCCTATCGTAGTTATTCTAGCTATTCTATTTATTCTAGATATTCTAATTATTATAAATATAAAAATCATAATTATAATATTATATATATATTATGATGCATTAAATAATATTTAAAGATAATTATATTAAATAAATATATATATATATTATAATTTAATAATAATGGAATATTAATAAATTTAATTAATTATATTATAAATCTAAATTTAATAAAATTAGATTTATTTATATTTAAAAATTAAAAATATGTTTAGAAATATATTAGATTAAAAAAATAGAAAATATTATTTATCTATAAATAATGTTAATGGTTAAATATGGGGAGGTTGGATTATATTGTTAGGTATAGGAAATAATATAGGATATATATGTATATTTAAATGAATTGGAATGTTTTTATAATTAAATGGTTTTATGAATTAAGGATATTATCTTTGGGAAATTATGTAAAATAAATATTTATGTATTTAAAAATATATAGATTTATATATAATTGGTATATATTAAATTAATATATTTAATAAATATATATATAATTTGAAATATATATATATATTAATTTTTAGTTATTTATTTGTGAAGAAAAAAAAATATAAATTTGATTTTTAAAAAATAATATATTTTTAATATTAAAAAAATATATGTTATTTTTATTAATATAATTACTACTAATATTATGATTTAGCCTGGCATAGAGCGCGTGCGCGCAGTTTTCCGAGGCTAATTTTCCTAAAAATTTGCTACTTTTTGGGAAAAATTGGCAAATATAAATTTAGTTTGTGCGAATATAAACTAAGTTTGTGCTTCCTGAGCCCCCTGCTCGGAGGTCGAAATTTTACTATTATTTTGGAAAAATAATTTTTGATTTTCCCCAAAAAATGATACTTTTTTGGGGAAAATTCTTTTCTTCCCAGTTAGTGTCCTATTAAGTAACTGCAGTATGGTCGGTCAGGGTCGGTCGGGGGTTCGATTTCCCCCTGGTCTAGTGTCGCTCGGTAGGTCTTTCAGTTGTGTTTGAGCATGTATCTCCTGAATTTGGCGCGCGCGCGGAGTTCGTCATAATTTTGGTACTTTAACCCTGAGCCTAATTTTTCCAAAAATCTGCCACTATTTTGGGACTTTTACCCCGAGCCGAATTTTCCCAAACATCTGCCACAATTTTTGATTTTTTACGACTACAAATTTTGGGAACTTTTATTTTGCGTTTCCGTTATTTTGAATTTACCTTATGCAACTGTCACTTTCTTGAATTCACTATAGGCCACACATATTTCAAGCTTGCTGGTCGTGGGTACGAGTATCTTTTTGGTGCCGCTGATTTTGCATTGGAAAAAGGCCGCTGATATAGTGTCGCTAAGCTAGCGGAATGAAGTTACACAACCAAACTAGTCGCATATTTTCATATGGCTATACATTTAGTCATGTTAACCCTGCGGCGGTGCCCTCAGTGTAGACCGCATGGCTGTTCACTGTTGCACCCCAAGAATTGCAAGCCGCAATCTATAACGGCATGTCCTCAATTTATTACTACTAATATTACGATCTGCCTGTACACAAACCACTTCGGGGAGCAGCTTTCAGTAGCAACTTTCGGGAGCAGCTTTCGGGAGCCGCTTTGCAGAATAGCTTTGGGGAGACGTTTATTTGAAGAATCGCAGCTTGCGGGCAATAGCTTTGGACAGCAGCTTTGGGAAGCAATTTTGGCAAGCTGTCCGGAGCAACTTTCAGGAACAATTGCTTTGAAGAATAGCATCTTTCGGGGGCAGCTTTACAAACAACTTCGGGGAGCGGAGCCGCTTTGCAGAATAGCTTTGGGGAGCCGTTTTGGTGTATAGGTTTGAAAGGTTGCAGCTTTGGGGCAATAGTTTTGGGCAAAAGCTTTGGGGAGCAGCTTGTGGTAGCAACTTTGGGGGGCAGCTTTCGGGAGCCGCTTTGCAGAATGGCTTTGGGGAGCCGTTTTGGTGAACAGATTTGCAGAATCGCAGCCTTAGGGCAACAGCTTTGGAGAACAGCTTTGGGGAGCAGCGCCGGGGAACAGCTTTGGGTAGCAGCTTTGGGGAGCAACTTTGGACAGCTTTCCGGACCAGCTGGCAGCTTCGGGCAGCAGCAACTTTGGGGAGCAGCTTTCCGCAGCTTTGGGGCAACAGCTTTGGAGAACAGCTTTGGGCACAATTTTGTGGAGCAGCGCAGGGGAACAGCTTTGGGGAACAGCTTTGAGGAGCAACTTTGCACGGCAGCTTTGAAGAACCGCAGCTTTGGGGAGCAACTTTGGGGAGCAGCTTTCGGGAGTCGCTTTGGAGAATAGCTTTGGGGAATAGGTTTGAA